TCATATAATACAAGCTACTTTATCTTTTATCACGCTTTTACATCCAGAGCAGCAAGTTAAATAATGGATTAAAAAATAAATAAATGAGTAGCGATAGGTCATTTTACCTTTTTAGCTTTAACAATGATCTGGAAAAGGTTGGTAAAGCCCCTGGCAGATGTGAGAATGAGCTCTTTCCGACAGGAGTCATGAGAAGAGCTTTCCAGAAGGCGACGATGCTGCGGAGTCACTTTTTTCACCATTAACTGAAAAAAAAAACAGCGGATATCAGCCTCCCATGTTACCTGTGTGTACTGAATGCTGAGGACTCAAGATCCACTTCTAGGCTATGAAAAATGGAATAAAAAAGATGAGAGAACGCGCATCACTGAGACCCAGAACAGCCAGGCTCACTTCTCTTCCCTTTTGAGGTCAGTGCTCCAGTAATACCAGACCTCTTCTAATGGTGCCTTATTAATGCTTTTCTTTTTAAGAGGATGGCTCCTATCACAGATAGTTTGGACCACAAATAAACATAATTAACTTCATGCCAATACTATAACTTTATCGAACTGAAAAACAAAAATAGCATTGCACAAACTGAATCTTCAAAAGCTGTGCTTCAGGTGAGCAGGCTGGGTAAGCCTGTCACTCTGCTAACAATGGCTACCAAGCCAAAACAACTAAAGCAAGGAAAAAAACATAAGAACAAAAAAAAACCCTCCATAATCCATTTCTAAGCAACTGACTGTTACCACTATTGTGCCATGTTCTAAAATGTCTGCAGCCATTGGTTTAATTCAGAAAATACTGCATCAAATGGAAAATACCAATGTAGAGAAAGGCACATCCCACTACAGCAAGATACATAAAAGTGAAAGTCTTCAAAGCAGCTATACAGCAAAAAATGGCAAAGATAAAACACAAAAGGCTGAAAACTGCTATTTCATGCAAAGGTATTAAAGGAGAGATTTTTCAAAGGAAGCAGGAGAGTTTCTGCAGAAGTGCCCCAAGGACAAGTATTTCTCACTCAAGGTATTGTGTGGTTACAGGGGAAACAGAAATCAAAGTTATTCAATTTTGTGAGATCCCAAGAAAAGGGATTCAGAATTGACACTTCCCTTTGTCACCATCCTCTCGTCTTGGACTCATTGTTAAAAGGCAACATTTTAGAATCTCTCTCTGAGGGAATGTCAGTCCTACCTACCTAGGTAGAAACTCTCTTACAGCTCACCTCATTGTCTCCGAGAGGCTGTGTCCAAATGTTTGGGAGAGCTTGTCGCAGAACCAGTTGAACGTCAAGCATCTGAGAATCTAAGACATAAATGAAGTAGTAAAAACTTTAGAGGTGCAAATAATTCTGTTTAGCAAAACATTTTTTTCTAGACAGAAGGACTAACCAGATGGTTCTGCTCCAGGGTACAAAATACAGTCCTGAATGATACGATCTTAATACATTCCTGCACACGTGGTGACAGCAAAAAAAAAAAAAGTCACATGGGGAATTTCAGTCAAATAAGCTTTTGGGAGAACACAGAGTAAAGGAAAAGACCAACTGAAAATGAGTGGAGAGAGAAAGGCAGTCATGAGAGCTCTGGAAAAAAAAACAAGCCTACTGCAGACAAATCCAAAGCTTTCCTGTTTCAGAGCAACTATGAATTCTCTAGCTGCGACTCTGAAGCAAACAATGGAAACCACTGACTGCAAAGCAAGCTCTTCTGATCCAAGCACCCAGACATCCATCTCTCCCACACGAAAACCCAATGCCACAACAACACAGAAAAGCAGAGCTCAGACAAGAATGGAGACATTATAGATAGAGAGAGGAAACAACAAGCAGCCCCAGATGTTCAGAGCTGACGAAGCCACTCAGAGCCCACAGGAAGGCACCCTGCTTCATACCACTCAGATCCTGCAGAATCATTGTGTCCCCTTCCTTGGCTGCTGCTATCCAACAAGTCACTTCATCAATAGCCTTCTTCACCACGTTCATGTTCAGAGCACTAGAGCAGGATCAGGGATGAAGAAGGAGTGGGGGAAATTGTTTTGTCTGTTTCCATAGGTGGAGACTCACACCCTGCTGTGGGAATGCAGAATTTCCCAATTATCCAGCCAAATCCATTTTGTATCCTATGATCTTTTCCACCTAAGTATCAGGAAGCACTTCTTGACTGTGCAAGTGAAGAAACACTGGAATAGGTTGCCCACAGAGGCTGTGTAAGGTTTTTCAAGCTCTCCCTCCTTCTTTGGAGATCTTCAAAAGTCACCTGGACATGGTCCTGAGCAAGTAGCTCTTGGTGTCCCTGCCTGAGCAGGGGTTGGAGCAGATTATTTCCAGAGGTCCCTGCTAGCCTCAGCCATTCTGTAATCTCAGTCCTTCTCAGGACAAACCACAGCATGTGAAAAAGTTGGCAGCAAGGCATTCAGATCAACAGGTTTTACTTATTTTACAAAACATGATTTGAGAAAAGATAGCTGTCAGCAATGACATTATGGGAGCCATCTCTCTGAATAACACTCACCTACAGACTTTCCAACTACCCTCTAAGAGACGCTGGCTAAGGATCTTCTCCTGTAACTCATTCATGTACGGGATTCCATCTTTCAGGAACTGAGGGAGAAAAAATGCCAGGCTGATTATTCTCCCCTGGACTTTCTTGCACCAGATAAGAGAACAGCATGGCCAGGTTCAAACCTGGCATGTATTAGAGAGATGAGGGTGTGTCTCGTTTTAAAAACAGCCTCTTTGAAAACATCAACTGATAGTAATTCAAGATACAAGTTTACATAATGGAAGACACATGTTTTTGCTGTGCTTTCACCTTTCCTTTAAGGAGATAATTCATGTGTCAAGATAAAAATCACACCATGCTACCTGCTTAGAATTGCTGAACAGTGCTCTTATGTAACAAAATAGCCTTAGTTTCATGGGAAATCTGGCAGTAGAAAAGATGCAGGTACACTGAGAGCTTCCCACCTTTATTGCTAAAAAAGACACCCACTGGAGTCTCTTTACTGACTTGTATGCTCACTAGAGATGCCTCTTGCTCTTCAGAGATGGGGAAATGTGCCTTAGGCTGACAAAGACGTGGTTACTGACTCTAAGGCACTTCAGAAAACCACTGTTCCTTCTCCCCATTGATAATAAACCACACAATGTATTCATGTGTTAGCAAACAGCTTTTTACCCCGAGCATGTGGACATTAATACTAAATTCTCCTGTAATTGCACAGACTTCCTCTGTTCTAGATTCCTAGCACACAGACTACCTACCTTATTATAGTCAAAGCCATAGTGAGACAAGAATTGAATGCTAGATGCGGAGAGGGTGAGTTCAGCATCCATAACTCCCAAAGTTGAGGGAAAGAGAAAGAAATTGTACGAATGCACCACATACCTACAACGAAAAGGAAAACTCCACTAGAAGATAACGACAAGAAATTACATAACCCTTCCCAAGAGACTTCTGCATAGCAGTACAACCACGCTGCCTTCATTTCAAGAGGTAACTGTGAGGCCATGTGGAAAAGACGCTTTTTACCTACTTGTTTGAATTTTCTTCTAAGAATATTGCTAGCCCTGCAAGAGAGAGAAACGTTAACTGAAATGGTGATGTTGGGCTGATATCTACAAATGCTGTGACAATTAATGATGTGATGCGATGACCCTGAGGAAGCACACCTTTCTCATTCATTAACAACTTTAGACCAGTGAGAAGTACACGGCCCACAAGACTTCAAGTTATTTACAGTGTTAAAAAGCTGATTCTGTTAAACCTCAGAGAAGATCATGCAACCCACCAAAGCAAACCAACGGCCCAGTGCACAGAACACAAACACAGCAGTCTGCAGGGCTCAGCAGGAGGCTGGAGATGAAGGGGACAAGGGAAGGCTGCTTCCTGCCAGCATGGCACTCACCCAGCTGCGTGATGGTGAAGCGCTGCACGCTACGCCTGACCTTCTGGTACCGCTCAGCTGGGGAGTCAAATAAGCTGATAGACAATAAACAGGGTGGGGAAGGGGATGAGAGTAAGAAGAGCTGCAGCGCTCAGGTTCGCTTCCACAACGCCTGAACAGCAGCTCTCTCCTGCATGTGAAGTCCAACAGCCTTACCTGGGCTGGTTACTTTCTGGGAAAGCTGAATGCAGGCCAGTAAACTCCATGTCCAGGCCTGTTAAAGAATTCCAAAACAACAAATAAAAACACTGGATAAAGGAAGATTCATTTCACCAGCATCTGGGCAAGGACCTCTCCTCAAACCCACGAAGAGCAAGCTCCAAAGAAAAGGGACTGACTGCCACAAAAGCGTGGCTGCATGAGGGCAGCTGCCGCACGGGGAGTCGGCAGCAGAGCACGGTGCTGCTGCGAGCCAGGACTGATACGGTTCACAATATATGAGAGCAGCATCCTCTGCCCTCCTGTCTGCCACGGCGTCTTTACGGAGAACAAGCCGCTGAAGCGCCTCTCAGCCGCTGAAGCGCCTCATTTACACACAGCAGGAGTAAAGTTTCAGAGGCGCAGCACCCCGACCAGGAGCAGGCCCGAACGCGGCGCGGCCGGCAGCGGTCACACAGCGGAGCCCACCGCCGCACCCGAGCGCGCAGCGCTCACCCAGGAAGGCGGCGCGGCCGATGCGGTCCCGCAGGCAGGGCAGGCAGCGCGCGAAGTCCGCCGCCCCCACGTCCATGGCTGCCGCCGGGCAGCGCGCTTCGCGCAGGTGAGGCAGCGCCACGCCCCGCCCCGCCCCGCCCCGCCCGCTCGGCTGCCGGGCCGGGGCAGGCGCACGCAGGCCGGGTGGCCGCGCAGCTGCGCTCCTTGGCCTGCATGCAGCCGCAACGGGACGCAAGAGGACTAGAGGTAAGGTTAGGGGAACATAAATTTTTCGGTTTTCTTTTTCACGAAGTACTGTACAAAACTAAGTTATCGTTCTAAACTTTTTGCTAAGTCAGACGTACGGTGACGTCATTCCAGTTTGAGAAGAAAAGTGTTGGAAATTTCATGATCAGGAATTCGATACTTTATTTATTTATAAATATTTTATTAGTAGATGCCATTTTCCACCATGTTCCAACTCCTTCCATTTCCAGTTCCTCGCTGTGGCTGGACCCACACTTAGGAAGTGAGTGCTGTTCCCTGGAAGTTGTCCCAGTGGTCTCCATTTTATTGGTAGATTCTCCACGGCTCTCGCAGAACAACACCACCCTCTGTCATCGCTTTTTCAAATGCCTGGATCTTGTTGGAAAGACAGAGATGTGAACAGAGAGAAAGCAGTCAGCACCCAAACATTACTGTGGACACAGAGCGTGTAGCTTGTCAAGGTTACCCTTTGGACTGTTGCAAATAGAAACACTCAAGCCACATAAGGAAACTAATGGTGCAAGAACATAAATCAGTGTTTAGAAAGGGGGAAGAAAAAAAAAAGGCAAATCAAGTTTAAGGTACTTGCCGAATCACAACGATATTCCCAAGGAATAACAGCTTTAAAGTTCACAAAGTTGATTCCCGCTTCCAAACAGCGCTGTGCCATAACACGGCCAAGGTTTCTGCAGGCTGTAACACCCTTAGGACTGTACAGGTGCCTCTTTATAGCCCACTCTCGAGTAGAGGCAGATAACACAACATTGCCATTACTGCGCTCCACAAAGGCTTCTACATAATGCTGCGTCCGCTCCAGCCGTAACCTGGGTGAGGGAAAAATGCAACATGCACTATCATGTCTTCCCCACATCTAAAGAGAGAACACACTGATATACGGTAAATGAAGTTATTTGCTTTATGAGATAACACTGACTGCACTGGAACTATTAATATAATGATTTCTTAATATTGCTTTTATTAACTTGGCATGCTTTATTTCTTACTTTATTTGGACATATAATAGGACTCCTTTTACCAGTTAAAGAGACTCCAAGAGTTCCAAGAGTGACTTTTCAGCAATCACGTGCCTGGCCCTATAGTGCTTCAAACGCATTCACCCCAAAAACAAGCACTGTATATCTAACTGTATGATGCTATACTGCTGTCTATGTGAGGGAACTGCTCCAACTGAAAAGCAACTCTAGGTTTATCATATAGCCTCTTAAAGTCTAGTGCTATACAACTGGGAGCAACTTGTCAGGATTTGCAAGTGGCCAAGGAGCATTGCTAAGCATTAACCCCTAGAGTCTATTAACAGCACAATATTTTCTATTGCTCTATCAGGAAAAAAAATCAGATTTCCAGATATGAATGAACTGTGCATAGTTCTTCTCTCAAAAACAAAACAATCTCATTGATTCCCCAGTTTTCCACAAGGCAAGCAATCAACATTTTCTTACAAAATAAAAAAAAACAATCAAGTACCTCAAGTAAGACAATGATGCATGGTCAGCACAAGACTATCACAATCCTAAGTTAAACTGCAGTTGTTTAATCAATATCACTATCTTAAAGATACGGTACCTTTCATGTGATGATAATCTATTGCTCTCTGAACATAAAAGGTATCTGTCAATTAAGAACAGCTGAAGGGTTAATTCATTCAATAACCCAAAAAGTACATTTTATGGAAATTCTACATAGTATATATATTTTTAATTCTTATTTATTTTGGATCTTCACCTCTCCTAGTGGTCTTCTGACTCACCTATGCCAGAATTCACGCTTTGGCCATGTTGTCTCCCAGCCACGTTCCTTCCTAGCAAGTGCCAGCTGCTCAAGGTTCCGAGGGTTCCTGTTAGTGAACTCTGGGGAAACAACCTCATTCTCCCTTGTGTCTATTTCACTCTCAGATTTCAGGTCAGCTGTAGTTGATGCATAACGGAAACCTTAAAGGAAAGCAGGAAAAAAAAGACAAAAAAAAAGACAGAAGGGAAAAAACAAACATACAAAATTTTTTAAAAAGTTAGGAATTATATATAACACGAGCAGTAGGTCAAATACAAAATAATGGGTTATCAGTCCTCAGCCTCTTTCTTCAACTTATGAGATGGAGGGTAAGCTAAAAACTGAAGGTACGTGTAACTTCAACTATGTTTTAAGATGCGTACATATAACACAAATTGGAGAATAATTACAAGATTTCTATAATTAAGTCGCTAAGAAATACTGACACAAGGAACCAAGAACTGCACTACCAAATAAGTTAAAGCCCATCTATCCCACCTACCTGATCATCACCAATCATGCTATCACCTTAGGCTTGCAAACTCACTCTGCTAGGCTACTTCCAAAACGGCAGCGGAAACCCCTCCAGCGGGCTAAGGCCCCGTTTGCCAGCCCCCGCCCCATCCCATCCCACAGCCGCCGTTACCGGCAGCCGCACCGAGACACCCGACCTGGCAGCACAGGGGTCGCGACGCCTCCTACTGGAGAAGGCCGGTTTGGAGAGTGGCAGAGCAGTCGACCTTACCCGCTCCACGCGCCCGGAGCCGGCCAGCCGCCAGCAACGTGCAGCCGCGACTGCCCAGCGCCATGGAGAGCCGGCGCCCGCCACGACCTCAGGCGACAGTCACCTCCCGGGCGCTCAGAGACCCCTGGGCGCCGCCATGTTGGGTGAGGCCGGCACCTCCCTCCGGAAGCCGGAGGGCACTTCCGCCCGAGGGTTGTGTCACGTGGGAGCAGCGGGCGGGCTGCTGCGCGCGCACAGCACGCTTTTTCCAGATGGGCAGCGTGAGCGCGGCGCGATAATGGACGTTATCCCGGGAGGTGGAGTGGCTTTGAGTACCGGCCTTTCTTTATGGCCAGAAAGGAAAGTAGGGCCTGAGGCAATACAAATCTTGGTTTTGCGGCTAGGAGAATAATTCATTCCCTTAAAAAGCGAAGTAACACGTTGTAACACCACAAGCAAAAGTGCGGAAATGCCACGCGACAAAACCGGCGTTAGATCTGGGCCCTTTTCCAGTCACCGTCAGGACAGAGCAGCACGGTACAGCCACAAACAGATCTCCCCAGGTCCTATAAGCTCCGCCCGGACCAGCGAACCCTCCCTCCCAACAGCCAGTCAGCGCGCATGCGCAAAGCAGCCGTGCGCCACCCCAGTTTCTAGAACCTCCTAGAAGCGCTGCCGCCTCTCATTCGGTTCAGTGGCTTTGTTCAACGGCAAGGACCAATCACGGTTCGAGACCAGGCTGCACCGCGCCCCCGGATTGGGCGGGCGGCCGTGGCCCCGCCCCTTCAGCGCCCGGCCTGCCCGCGCCTGTGTCGGGCGGAGTTCCCGGCATTCCATAGCGGCCCGTTGGCCATTCTGCGGCTCGGCGCCGTGTCTACTTCTCGCGCCGCGGCCCGGCGGGAAGATGGCGGCGATGGAGGGGCCCCTGGCTGTGTTCGGCGAGCGGACCAGCGGCGACACCATCCGCACGCAGAACGGTAACGGCCGCGTGCTGCCGGCGGAGCCCGCTAAGCGGGGAGGGAGCGCGGAGGAGGTAACATGGCGCAGCCATGTGCTTCCCCGCCCCGGGCCTGCCGCCGCGTCGGCTCGGTTGTGAGGGCGGGCGGCTGCGGGCTAGGGTGGGTGGGGACCGCCCCCAACTCGTAGGGCCTGCAGGGTGCCGGGTGGGGAGGTGGCTGCTGGGGAAGAGGGCCCCGTCCGAATTACATTTGTCACAAATGGCACGCGGGGAAGGCTGCGCGTCCCGGGATTGTCTGCATTTCTGAGGAGATGAACGAGAAAAGAAGATGAGGAGGCGCCTTCTGGTGATTGTGAGGGTTGTGCGGTTGTGATGTACGCTTAAGATCCAGATTGCCGTAATCTGGCTGAGATGCTCGATAATGGCAGCTTCTTTCAAAAAGCTGCGCTAAAGGGCAGTAGTTACAGTGTTGGAAACTCAGAGTGAGGGCCTGCGTTGCAGCGTTTCCCATTATACTACCACTTTTTCAATCTCCAGAGGAAGTGGCTATGCTTGTGGGATAGAGGAAAAACTTGCCACGGTCTGAAGGAAAAGGTTGATTGTATCTTTTTCCTACATGAAGTTGGCAGAACATCACCTGGACAAGCTGCTACGTTAGATGCTCCGTTATCATTTAAGTGCGTGGAGGCCCCTCACTTTGATTTTCATGACTTGAAATATTTTGTGTTGGTTACAGACCTAATTGAGGCAAAAAGATACGTTATTAGTTGCTATATGTCTTACATTATGTGGTTGTAGCACGGGTCTGTATCTACCTTGGTACGCGCTGCTTTATTTCATACTGCTTAATACCCACAAACCAGACTGAAACGTGCTCCTGAGTTAGTTTATTTAAAGTTTCTGAAGCACAGGTTTCTCATGCTTTTTGGTTTTTAAAATCTTTTTTTTCTTTTCACTTACACAGTTACTGCTGCATCCGCTATTGCCAACATTGTGAAAAGTTCCCTGGGGCCAGTTGGGCTGGATAAGATGTTGGTGGATGACATTGGGGTAAGTAAGCTTTATCTAAGTGGAAAATGTTAAGATTTTTACTGTTGTAGAATGGCTTCTACCTAGCATACTTCCTTGGTCTCATGTTCATGTACCTGTTTTTGTGTTGTGTGGAGAGGGAGTGGGAGGAGGAGCATTTCAGAAAAATAATATATTCAGGTGGTTCGTGCTGTATCACTTACATCAATAGCTTCTGTTTTACAGTTGACCTTTTTCCCTGTGTAAAAATCACTACTTGAAAAAATTACTTGAACTTGAATGAGTATGAAATGCTAAAGTCAGGCTGGTGTTGACTTGTATGATCTCTTTTCTGTGAGATATAATGTAAAAGTATTTCAGATAACTTTTTACCAATTTTAAGATCGTATTTTGCATTTAAAATTATTTGAAGTTTTCCTGGTAGAAGACCATAATAAAATACTAAATTGGAAGTGATTCACTGCTGTGCTGTTGGCATGATATGTGCAAATCATTTTGTATCTAATAGGTGTTCCTGATGAAAATGAGGTGCCGATTCTCCCTGATAACAGTGGGTCACTTGGTTACAAAGAAGCAATAAGAATTTGGTATAAATAGCCATTTCATGAAAATTTACAAAGAAAAATTAATGTTGTTTCATTAATACTGCAGAATGTGACAGGAAAAACAATAGACGTATATTTTGTACTAATATTCTATTTCTGAAAACTAGGATGTGACCATTACTAATGATGGTGCAACCATTCTGAAACTGCTGGAAGTTGAGCATCCTGCTGCAAAAGTCCTCTGTGAGCTGGCAGACCTACAAGACAAAGAAGTTGGTGATGGGACAACCTCAGTGGTACGCAAAAAGTTTTGTAGGCAGATGCAACAAATGTCAGTGTTTCATGGTCTCAGGTTTTTTTTAAAGTGGATTGCAGAAGAACAAAATCAGAGTTGTGTGTTATGTTTCATAGATGCTTGTTTCCATATGCAGTTGGTATTCTGGTATGGAATTCACTCCTTGCTGTTTATTCACTTTTTTTTTTTTTTGCTTTGTTGAAGTCAAGGATAGTTTCTGAATTGACATTCTTTCTAACGATTGGGAAGTAAAATGCCTAAGGCTAACTGGTAAGAATGGTCAGTGTTGTAAAAAAGTTTCAGGCAATTGAAAACTTCTGTGTTGTTTAAAATTAGATGGCTTTTTCTCCAAGGTCAGAAAATACGGTTTAAGGTGTTGTTTCTGCTGAGCAGACATTGAACCATTGGGGATTCTATTTCTTTGCTGTATGGTAGCAAGCAGTTGTTTTGGTTGTATGAAATAGGTATATTTGGTGTTTGTATTTCAAACAGGTAATCATTGCTGCAGAACTTCTAAAAAATGCTGACGAGCTTGTCAAACAGAAGATCCATCCTACCTCCATTATTGGTGGATACCGACTTGCTTGCAAGTAAGAAACTGTTGAAGTATATTGCATTTTCTAAGTACACTTAGTGCATGCTTTTTGTTTATTTCTGTTTTTTTAGCTGCATTAATGAAGATTTCTTTGTGTGAAATGGATATGCCGGTTTCACTGTAGTTTTAATTCTGTATTTGTATACTGTCACATAAAAACATCATTTTACTGTCCGAGAAGAATAATTGATTTAACTTCTGTGTAACATTTAGCAGGGCTGAGGGCATGAGATTTTTGTCTTATGTAAGGGTGGCATTTTTTATTGGTATTTTGTGTTTATTCTACAGGGAAGCAGTTCGCTACATCAATGAAAACCTTATTATTAACACAGACGAGTTAGGCAGGGAATGCCTAATTAATGCTGCTAAAACATCCATGTCCTCGAAAATTATAGGAATGTATCCTTTAACTTGTTTCAGTTATTTACGTGTTTGGAGAGCTTGATCAGTTAGGCTAGTTTCCTTTACAGCAGCGGTAAAATGATAGATGAAGTATTCTCCCATTCGTAACAAGGATGCAAAAAACATCTCACTGGTATTGTTATCTGCCATGGGAAAGCATGTTCAGACCTTTCCAAAGTATTTAGATCTGTATAAGGACACTATAATAGATATAAGTGTATTATTTTTTTTTTCCTTGCAGTGCATGTCTATGCAAAAAAAACTGCGTGAATGGAAAAATTCAGAAGTCAGGTATCTAGGGGAGTGAAACTGCAGGAAAGAAGGTTGGGTTTTACTTGATAGTCACAGAAAAACCTGTATTCTTGATCTTTGTGCTAATAGGAGGATGCATACTCTGATCATAAGACAGATGTTTTTTCTGTTAGAGAACAAAAAGGAGGATCAAAACAAGCTTTGCAACTAGCCTGTCCCAATTTGCTTTTCACTATTTCAACTTCGAGTTACTCATTCTTCTAAAAAAAAAAAAAATGTTAAAAAATATTTTATACAAGAAACTTTGCTTTTTTTTCTTTCTCCATTCCTTAAGGATAACAGTAGCTTTCATTTCAGTTTTAACCTTAACAGCATTTTAGTGATGGTGATTTCTTTGCAAATATGGTGGTGGATGCTGCAATGGCAGTTAAATATACAGACCAGAAGGGGCAAGCCCGGTATCCGATCAACTCTGTTAATGTTTTGAAGGCACATGGTCGCAGCCAAAAAGAGAGCATTCTTGTGAATGGTTACGCCCTGAACTGTGTAGTGGGCTCACAGGGTAAGAAAACACTGTTTCATAGAGCTTTTGTGTGAATTTGGTACTCTCATTCTTTCTGCATGGATCTTCCTACTGACTGCACTAGTTGTGGAACTTCTGGTTTTTCAGTTCTAGAATGATAAAATAAGAAAAAAAGCAATAAATCTTAGCTCTTCATAATAGTTTCTAGACTAGGGTTTGTGAGCTAGTAGGGTACTCAAAATATTTGTAACTGTTTATTTTGCTGGGTATTGACATGGTAACACTGCAGTCTTTGAGAATACAAGTACCTCCCTTTTTGAGAGTCAGTGTCAGTTTTTACAGAGATGTTAAGTTTAATAGAGTTGTCTCGTGATTAAGTAACTTAAAAGTATGTGAGACTGATGGGTTAGTTCTTGTGGATGTTCATATTTTCAGTATAGGGATCCGTTGAAAGGAAACAGAAGTTATACTAGGGACTTGTATTTCTGTCATTGAAGTCTCTTAGTATTTTTTCATACTCGGACAGGACTGGAGATTGAAAAAACAAATTGAAAAGATACCTGAAACGTAAAAGCAGCATTATTTTCTAATGTGAACTTGAGAATCTGTTAACTCAGTTTGACAGCAGCCTTTTTCCTTCTTCCCTTCTCTATCCTCAGGTATGACAAAGAGAATAGTTAATGCAAAGATTGCGTGCCTTGACTTCAGCCTGCAGAAAGCAAAAATGAAGCTTGGTGTTCAGGTTGTTATCACGGACCCAGAGAAGTTGGACCAGATAAGGCAAAGGTGTGTGGAAGGTTGACTAACAGCCAGTGGAGTTGCAGTGGATGATTTAATCTCATCAGTTCTGGTGGGCTTGATGTAATTTTGACTGACAGAAGTGTTCAGAAAGCTGATGTCTCCCAACAAATAACAAATATTAATTGGGGAAAAAAAAGTCTTTATTTCTGAAGGTGGAACTTAATACTAAGTCCCTTCAAAGAAATCCACATAAGTTTGTGCAGTGGTTCCTTCTTGCAGAGCTCCGCATGAAGATTTCAAGACATTGGTTAATGGAACTTAATTGCAAACTTCTAAATGTGTTTGTAATTTTTTACATTGTCCTTGCAGAGAATCAGATATTACAAAAGAAAGGATCCAGAAGATTTTGGCCACGGGTGCCAATGTTATTCTAACCACTGGAGGTATTGATGACATGTGTCTGAAATACTTCGTTGATGCTGGTGCCATGGCAGTACGAAGAGTTGTAAAGAAGGATCTTAAACGGATTGCTAAGGCATCGGGAGGTATGTGTGTATGAAGATGCTTTTTCAAATAAAAACTGCTCTAACTAATCTTCGGAGTATGGCTTCTTAGCATGTAGGCCATGCAAGGAGAGAGAGGATGAAGAAAGATGAACTGCTCTTGTTTTCTTTTAACTTTACTGTTCCTTTTAAGTGAGTGTTCCATCAGAGTAGATGGTTGAAGGGATTGCCCGAGGAAGGTTTACAGTGTGGAAAAATAAATGCTGCTTTATGCTGGGGAAAAGTACTCTGTATAGATAGTTCAAGACAAATGAAGAATTGCTGCTGCATTTAATGCATAGTTAAACAACAACTACAGAAAAATCTGGCCCTGTGCATATTTTCTGTCAGTTCTTAAATGTTTAAGAAAGTATTTTCATTATGGTAAAGCAGGGGAATTTCTGGTTCTAAGAAAAATAAGTGCTGTAAAAATGGAGCAAAACCAGCATCTCTGATGACAAACTGCAGAAAATCTCACTGCTGTGTGAAAATTAACCTTTGCTACTGAAGTGCTGTTAATTAATTTTGCTCATTCTGCTTGTATTTATGTTTCTGATGTTCTGTCCGTGTGCTGCTTCTGGGAAGTTGGTAAAGGATGTATTGGAACTGAATACTCATTTCACATCTTGTTTGTTTTTTAAAGCGACCATATGTTCAACCCTTGCAAACCTTGAAGGTGAGGAGAGCTTTGAGGCATTAATGCTGGGACAGGCAGAAGAGGTGATTCAAGAGAGAATCTGTGATGATGAACTGATCTTAATCAAGAAGTAAGGACACCCTTTAGAGTATTCATTTTTGTGCATGGTTTTCTCTTGGATGTGAGATAAAATCCCATTTATTTGCTTCCATGCTATCTCAGTGGCATGAGTAGTTATACGCATGGGAAAGAGTATACAAGTCCACTGCAAATGAGAGATGAAAGTAACAGTATTTCATCTTGTCTGTTGGGGCTGGACAACTGTTATATCAAACATGATGTATCAATCAGGTTGCTAGATAGGCTGTACTTAAAATGTGGTTTGTCATAGTTTCTTTAACAAGAACATACTTGCCTACTGACTTCACTTCTGATCTCAGTGTCCAACTTCTGTCTCTTTTTGTAGCTGTTTCTGAGGGAATCGAATATTCAGTGACTGTGTGGCACTTAGTCAATTGTATGACTGCATTTACTGTACTGCTGGCAGTCATGATCTCACTTAATGGCTATGCAGAAGAGAGCTCTGCTTTCTCCTGTACTCTCCTTCCTATTCCATAACTGTCTTGACACCAAAAATACTTCATTGATGGAAGCGTCTGTTTTTTGTGTATCTTTCTCTAAAAAACTGCATCTCAATATAGGTTCTTACCTACTAGAATTGAAACTAAATACTGACTTACTATGTCACAATACACATACCCTGCAGGAAAGCATAACAGTAGTAAAATAGAACTTCCAAATGCTGAAAAAAATCTTGCTCCACTGAACTTGTTTTTGTAAGAAAAATGTTTAGCAAGAGGAATTGTAACTTGTATTTCTTTTTCAATGAAGCTGTCTTCTGCTTCCTTTATTCCACAGCACAAAGGCTCGTACTTCAGCATCAATCATTTTACGAGGAGCTAATGACTTCATGTGTGATGAAATGGAACGATCTATACATGATGCTCTCTGTGTTGTTAAAAGAGTATTGGAATCCAAGTCTGTTGTTCCAGGTGGTGGTGCTGTAGAGGCAGCACTTTCAATATATCTTGAAAATTATGCAACAAGTATGGTAAGTCTTACACATATAAGTAACAGTGCTTTGTTAGGACAGTATGAATTTTCTTTATTCTACCAGAAGTCAGCTCCATGGTTCTTGAAAGCATAATCACTTTACAGAATCATAAGATGCTTCTTTCAAACAGAAGACATGAATTACTTTTCCTGATAATTAGACTAACTGTGAAAGATGTTCTGCGTGGTTTGACCAGTTGTCTTAATTCTGGCTGTGCTTTTTTCTAATTCCATCAAGAACAGTAACTTCTAAAACTTCGTTCTCTTTTTAGGGATCACGTGAACAACTTGCAATAGCAGAATTTGCAAGATCCCTCTTAATAATTCCAAATACATTGGCAGTAAATGCTGCTCAAGATGCCACAGATCTTGTTGCGAAGTTAAGAGCATTCCATAATGAGGCTCAAGTTAATCCTGATCGCAAAAATCTGAAATGGCAAGTATCCCCTGGGGTGGGTGAGTCGGATGGGAAATTGTTCTGGCAGTTCAGGGAGCCAAAATTTGCCTGCAAAAACATGCAGGTTAGAACTGAAGACAGAGGGAGAAGAATTCAGTGATATGTGTGTATCACCAGGACCTAGTATTAATGAAATGATATACTCCAAATTTATTTCTACTTTTCCTACCTCTCCCTCTGATGATAGTTGTTCTTTCCAGGATCGGTCTTGACTTGGTCAATGGAAAGCCTCGTGATAATAAGCAAGCTGGTGTCTTTGAACCAACCATGGTCAAAACTAAGAGCCTGAAGTTTGCAACAGAAGCTGCAATTACTATTCTTCGAATTGATGATCTTATCAAACTGCACCCTGAACCTAAAGAGGATAGAGGGTGCTATGAAGATGCAGTTCATTCTGGAGCACTTGAAGAATAATTAGGCTTTATTTATGTTTATCCAACTTACACTTCCCACTCTTGTAACTGAAATGTTAATAAAACAAGTGGTTGAATGCTGCTATTTTTTTGTGGAAAAATTTATTTTCGGAAGCAAAAATTACTGTGTAGTAACCATTAATCTTAATTGACAAGGCAGTGATGAAGGAGCACGAAAAGCATTGTACTAAGCCTCTGTTAACAGTGGGGAAAACAAAAACATGCATGATTAGAAGGTTGTGAGTAAACTCTAAGGCAGTTATTCATCTCTCAATGCACATAGCTATTCCCATTCCTCCTCCTATGCAGAGAGCAGCAACACCACATTTTCCACCTGTTCGTTCCAGTGCATGTAGCAGAGTCACGAGGATGCGGCAACCAGAGGCACCCAGTGGGTGGCCAAGAGCAATAGCTCCACCTTGGGTGTTGATCTGAGGGGGAGGAAAGAACACGAGGTCAGGTTTAGAAGTCATTTGGCTTGCTGGAGTTTTGACATCAGTGACATCACTGGGTATAGTGACTAAGCTAATGTGCTACATACACTTCAAGGAAAACAGATCCTGTATGTAAAAGCTGTTACAAATTAGCATTTCTTCCCTAAGGAGCCCATCTAGTCACCTATCTTTATTTGCTACAGCTATTAATGATGGTGTAGCTAGGGTGAATTTAAGGGAGAGTAGTAACTGCAATTCTCACCATTCCTGGAAGAAAACTGACAAATATATTTCAGGCTTAGTTACATAGAGTTGTGTACACATCTACCAGAAGAAAGCTGTAGCCTGGTCTAGTAGGAAACAATTTGTCTGCTAGCAAAGCAGGCCTACAACTGAGTAGCTGAAGGAAATGCCTAATGTGGTATTGCCTATACTAATAGGGATGCTCCATTTCAGCTCTGAATACAATCCAAATAGAATCAAGGAAACAAGACCTCATACATTCATTACCTTTTCTGGATTTACTTTCAATTCTCTTGCTATTGCAATTGATAGCGATGCAAAGGCTTCATTAATTTCAAACAAGTCAACTTGGTCCAGAGTCCAGCCGGCTTTGTCAATCTGAGAGAGCAAAACAGAAATTTTATTAGAAGCATCTGAGGAAGCTGTTAATGAGACCTGTATCAGTGATACAAATTCACCACTATTAAAAAGCTGAAGGAAAAAAAGTTTTCTTCATAGCTGTGGTTCTCTTGAGGACAACTGACATCATATCATGGTGTCAGCAAAAAAAAAAAAATTCCCAACATGTTCACTGTTGGTATAACATCCAGGTTAATGTTTCACAGCTATTGGTGCTGTTAACAATTGCAGGGAGTCAAACTGCACATGGTGCCCTTAGCAGAACAAATAACATTTTCAAATGTAGGTTTTAGCTGATTAAAAGCAAGTTTTTACAAACAAATCTGATTTCATTAGAGATTCTGAATGCTTAATACAGTTTTTGAGTACAGGTGTTTCATTCCTGAAATGACCATTAGTGATGGGTACCAGGGGTAATAGCTCTGCTCTCCTGCCTTTATTGAGAAGCTGCTACTCAAAGCTTTCATGGTGCCACTTTAGAAGACAGTTTGATTAATGCTTTCACACGAGAAACTTGTGGTGTAATTGCCTGCTTAGGTATAAGCTCAGGCATGTTCTATGTATTTAAATATTTACTTCCACTGGCTGTTTCTAACAGTAATGCTTTATCAGCAGAATCATTTGCAGCAATGATGTTTTGCAACCAGACTGACACATCTCTCCTGAGTCAAGGATGAGTGCCCCTTTGTACTAGATACACACTGTAAAAGAGCCAACCTCCTGAGAAAGTGGTATATTTAAGAATTACTACATTGCAGCACTAAAAAGCATGGCTTAGTCACTCTGCAGAGAAACTGGTACTAAGTTCTGATGCAAACACATTGGGAGGGTGTGAAGTATTTGGTAACACACGTTATTACAAAGTTCATATTAAGAAGTGCCCTTTTTCAGAGTACCTATAGAATTTTAGGTTTAACAAAGTACTTGTCTGTGGTTGTCTATCCTACAGTTTAAAATAAGAATGTCTATCGTGTGTACAATAGAAACAGCATTTATGGCACTGATTTAGAAGAACATGTCAGATTAAAAAATGCTTCAGCTTTATGACCATCACTTTCCCATTAAAAGCTACAGAGGCTATGTGACCAGACTAGGCTTCTGCATTACCAGGACGTTTCAAAGACTAACAAACTAAGGTCTGCACAGCATAAATAAAACTAGAAAAGAATACTAAGGCAGATATATCCTTATCAGCTGTAGGAGAGCTCTCCTCATGATTGACTTCAATAGCAGTTTGAGTAAATAATCAGCTAGGGTTGCCATGGGCTACATCTGTATTAGCAAGCAGCATGGTGCCACAGGAGGTTCTCATAATAGAAGCACTCAGGGGACTGGACACAAGGTGTTCTCAGTAGAGGCAATACTGGCTCGAGCACATCAGATGTGGTTCTGGAAAGCACCTTCTTGATTAGTTTCATCTGAAAGGAAATAGAGCTTTCACAGAGCAGCACTTCTGCAGGACAAAGCAAAGCACAAAGGGCATAATCATATTCGCTAAAGCAGACGCACTCACTGCTCGTCCTTTCAGCACGTAGTACTGCAAACACAACTAGGCAATGGTATGAACATTAACCTGGCCAGACAAAGAATCAGAACTATGTTGTGGCAGAACCAATTCATCTCCAAATTAGGTCAGTATACGCTTCCATTAAATTTGATCTTAATGCTCCTAGGTGATCAAGGAGGCCTATAAACTTGACTGCATTATGTTTCAAATGCCATACTTACATCTATAAATTATTTTTCAATGAGTAGGCATCTCTAGAAAATGAAGAGACTACAAGTTCTTTTTAGTAATGGATAGACAGATAAGCAATTACTTACAGCTTTCCTTATTGCTGAAATGGGCCCTACTCCCATTATAGATGGATCTATACCCGTCTGAGCCCAAGATACGATCCGGGCCATAGGCATAAGACCTCTCCTAGCAGCTTCAGATTTCTTCATTAGAATCACAGCTGCAGCTCCATCATTTAAACCTGCAGAATGACAAACAACTGCTGTATGTTTGCTGGGTAACTGCAATCAAGCATTGCTATCGTTGTCCAAATACTTGTGTTACTTCACAGAAAGGAAGCAATTAAAAGACATCTCAGGAAAAAAGTCTTTCTCCACGCTTACATTTGAGTTCTACGTATAATTGTCAAACACTGCCACTTCCTTTACAGCACATCTAGTAGTGACCACACAGTAGCTACACCTCTTCCATGCCTTCCTTGAGCTACACACAGCCATTATAGTTTTTCATTTCAGTGTTAACCTGACTGACCTGAAGCATTAGCAGCTGTTACAGTCCCAGTTCCATCGGTCAGAAAACAGGGCTTTAACTTTGCCATTGCTTCCAAGTTGCTCCCATGTCGAGGGTATTCATCTGTTTTAACTTCTATAGGACCTGCAAAGCAGAGTGTTAGGCTCACAGTACACACACCTTAAACACAGAGCTGACAGAATCAACAGGGTGATTGGGAATTTATAGCATATTCCCCTTTACCAACAAATGAGTGCACATTAAAGCTCCCTCCAGCTGTTTCTGGCAGGACAGGCAGCTGGGTTTCATGAAATGAATGCTAACAAGCAAAATACTGTCTAGCTGTACAAAAGCATACATTGTTCTGGCTCTTCCTAATAGAACTGCTTCTCTTCCAAGAAGAAGGCTATTGTAGGGATATCATTGGAAAGAACAGTCAGGTAACATGAAATAGTATCTAAGCTGGTTTCAAGAAAGTCCTGAAGCCTTAATGTCAGAACTTTTCTCACAGGAGTTACTCAGCTGATTCACCATTTCTCCCTGAAAACTTCAGGTTTTGCATTCTCATCACAGAAGAGCTGGGGGAATCGCCCTATTAGACCTTTGGCTCACGTGCCATAAGAGGCCTGCTTAAATCCTAAGCAAACCTAAAGAGAAACATACCTAATGTCCGTAACTGCACTTAGTTAATTAACCAGTAATTCTAACTATTATTTACTGTGTATTTTACTAGGTGGTAAAGACTTTCCATATCAACGTGACTGATTTAAGTTTTGTCTAACAACATGAAAATACTGATTTTAATACAGCATCCAAAGTTGAGAACCTATATTAAGCATGACATGGGCCTGGATTGTAATTACTTCTCCAATAAAATAGATAGTAGTATTTGCATAGAGCTACATTTGGGTATTCCGCATTTGCATCATTTCTCTCTTATTTCAGAAAAGAAGGGCTGGAAACTAGAAAACAGAGCAATGGGTTACAGACTTGTGGAACCATTTGTATAACAGGCTGCATAACTGGAAAACCATTGATCAGAAGAGACATAGTAGAAAATGTTTTTTTCTTTAAAATCAGGTGTAGTTATCCATTTAACACCTACCTTTTTTGGAAGGTACAAGAACAGGAACAATTTCTTTTACAAAATAGCCAGCTTTCTGTGCTGCCTCTGTCCTGTTTTGTGACTGTAAAGCAAGTTGGTCTTGTTCCCCTCTGCTAACTTGCCACTGATTGGCCACATTTTCAGCTGAAATTAGAATAAAATGCAAATTACTGACAGTACCTCCCACAGCTGTAAGTTTTAAAGTTGAAAGCACACAGGTAGTCATTAATGTTTGCTGTAGTGAGCAGCTAAACTCATTGAGCAGTTTTCACTTTAATTTCTTGTTTTGGTTGCTCATGATTCTCTGCTATATTTCATTTTGTGGGTGTACATTTCTGTGCAGGATCTCCTCCCAGGTGGTAAATCTAGCTAAATACAAACGCCAACAAGCTTTTCTAATTGCTTATCTGGATCAGATCAGATCTCTCAACAAGCAGTTAGCTGACTACGCCATCCAGGATGCAATAACCTAAGGTTGCAAAACTACATGCATCCACAGTACATTTCACCTAATTCCTCCCCACCGTAAATCTGTGCAGCTGAATGCTTCAGTTAGGAATTGATTTGGATACTTTTCCCAAAGTTAATTTAAATTGTTCAGAAGCAAAAGACGTGCAGTGAAATTAGGTGCCAACAGGCATAAGCCAGGGAGTCTGAATATGTACTCTTCCAGGCCAACATTTTATTAGCTCCAATGGAAAAAAAAAAAAAAGGTTGTTTTACTTGCAAAGCAAGAAACGTCCTCAAGACTTATCAGTATTAGGGTTTGTTCTCTTTTTCATGACTACAACTTAAGGATAGCTTGGAATTTTTTAACTAAAACAGATTTTTGAAATTTACTAAGAGTGAATTCTCCTCTCACCTTCCCATTTAACTATTTGAGTTACAGAACTGTCACCACTTACCAGTTATACCCATATGATACTGATAAAAAGCATCTGTAAGGCCATCCCGGATTATAGTATCCTGCAAGGAAGCCTCTCCCATTTTCACACCAGCTCGCATGTGAATCACATGAGGAGCCTGCAGGAAGGTATTTCAGAAGGAGTTAAGATTGTTTCTATCAGTGGTATGCAATGTAGCCAAGACAGCAGGACAGACAGAGACAGATTCCCACCTTGGGACTACAGGTAGCAATCCCAGCTCACCTTTCCTTCTCACAGTCTCCCTTATACACATACCCCTCCTGCCCCCAAAACCACCCACCTTAAGTCCTTTTCTCACACTGCAGGATAGAACAAGAAATAAGGGGTAAATTAGGGTCCTTGGCCAGTTAAAACACGGGGATCCCCAGCTGCCTGCTCTGTCTCTCCTTCCAAGGCGTGATGCTTGACCTGTGCATTTCCCAGGCAGCAGATCACCAAGCAGCAAATGTTTTCTCAGCACAGACAGAATCACACAGTACTGTGGGGCAAGACAGCCTGTGTGTCCCTTGAAATGTTTCCCATTGTACCCTGCTACCAGGAAGCACCAACATCACCCTTAGCACTAGATAGCCAGTGGACCTTTGCATTAGATCGCTTTCCAAGCACCAGTCCATGACACAGCCTTGGGCTGAAAACCTTAAAATGAAAGCACTTTGCTTCCTTCCCTAGCTCAAATTACTTATTGACTGATTAGTCTGTACGAGAATAACATTTCCAGTTATTCATTCTTTGAGCCTCTCACATCATAGACACCCTCTCTCATTGCCAGCTGTTGGAAGCAAATAATTCATCACTACAGGGCTAGATGGCAATTAAAATAGAATTTTAAATGTAGTGTTTGTTTGCATGGCATCTTTTCAGTAACTACAATATTATTAAATAAAAGAAAAGTACCAAGTCCTTTTTTGCAAGCGTAATTTCACTTTCAAGTGCAGAAACCGCCTCCAAAGCATTAACCTTGGAACACCTGGTTTCAACATCACTTACTGCTGTCCTCAGTAAGCCAGAAAATGAGAGTGAAATCTCTTGCTTTACCTTGCTCATGCTTTCCATGCCTCCTGCGACCACAATACTGGAGTCTCCTGTCATTATGGACTGGGCCCCCAGACAGACAGCCTTCAGGCCAGACCCACAGATCATCTGACAGCTCCATGCCGGCACTGAGTATGGGATTCCTGCTCCAACACTCGCCTGCCGCGCTGGGTTCTGGCCAGCACCTGTGAGAACAGACAGGAGTTGTCCTGGCACACTTTTTAAATGAAACATGGGTCTTGCCACTTTCTATGATTGTACTCCAATTCCCCCCAAATGCTGAGCTTGCTCCTACTATTAGTTGGTAGATAAAGCTTCTGCAGCTCAGTTACCTGCCTCATTTAATTGGCCATTTACTACTGATATTTTATATTTGCAACCCTGCTTCTGACTGTGTGTGAGATGAAGCACCAATTATTCAACATCAAATCAGCACCAACCTGTTGTACATGTATAAGACATGTATTCATTTTAACTGCTGCTAGCTGAAGGGTTTCTTTCAAACGTCTTCTGCATGTAATGAATAGACAGCTTTTCCTATAAACTCCCTTGAAAACCAAAATTACATTTATGCAAGGTCAGTCACAAAAGCTTCCATTCTTGCTTTCAACTTCGATGTAGAGAATAGGAATGCTACGTTCAGCTACAATGTTCTTCATCTGCACATCCTCCAGGCCGAAGTGACTCCAGCTCTTTTGTAAGCAAAGGAACGGATAAAGAGAGTGCACCATGCAGCGTGCTAATAACATACAGAAATCCAAATCAGCCTTTAAACGTGATGTTAAACTATCTATTTCCTTTATTTTCTTCCTCTAGTTTAAACCACAACCTGCCCGGTGATCCTCCTGCTTAAACATCACCCCACAAAGAGCAGGCAACCGCACCTAAACGACCAACTTCCTGCCCGCTGCAGCTCCACCACATAAAGAGACCCATCCGCAAGCAAGCAGGGAATGCTGCAGGTGGGTCCCGGGCCGCCTTTGTCCCGCAGCGGTGGAGCCGTTGCCACCCACACCGTCGCATCCACGAGAAGCGACGCCCGAGGTGAGAGCGGGAGCAGCCGTGCCCTACCTGCGGTTAGCACCTGGCCCAGCACCACCTCCGACACCTCCTCGGGGCTCAGCCCGGCCCGCCGCAGCGCCTCGCGGATGACGGCGGCGCCCAGCTCGTGAGCGGGCAGCGCGGACAGCGCGCCGTTGAAGGAACCTGGCGAGGAAAGAGGGGAGAGCCGTCACCGCCCGCAGCCCCGGCAGAACCGCGCCCTGCGGGCACCCGGCCCCGGAGGGGCACCCGTCGCCCGGCCCCTCACCGATGGCGGTCCGGACGGCCGCGACGAACACAATGGGATCGGCGCTCATGGCGGCGCTCACGGCTCGCTCGGAGGCTGCGAGCGTCGGCGAGAGCCTGCACGGAGCCGGGACCGGGGCCGCCCCTCGCGTGTTGCCGGCACCGCCCCTCGCCTGCTGTCAGGAGAGGCGAACCGCGAGCGGGAGGCGGTGGGGGCCGGGCCCTGCTGGAGGGAGGAGCCGACATCGCCGCCCAGCGAAGGCAGCGGAGGTCTAAGAAAAAAAGAACGGGTGGGCTGAAAACAACGGCCTGTTTCGTAGCTGAGCTTTTCAGTCCTTATTCCTTCCCGTGCTGAGTCACGGCCGTTCCTTTGCAGAGCAGCTTCCAGCGTAAGGACACAGATGGTAACCTCTGGTACAGACACTGAGGGAGCTGATGAGGAACGTGTCCTTCTGGATTAGTTGTTGTTCGTAAGCAGGGAGGGTCCTGTGGGTGAAGACTGTCGGCAGCCATCTTGGCCAAAGGGACCACCATCAAGTAGCCGAGCTGGAAGTCTTTGGTGATAGAACTCACCAACGTTTAACCTGGGTGTGGGGAGAGCAGGGAACTGGTTAGCAAGGTGCCCTGGGAAACTGCTTTTGAAGGCTTTGGGATCCATCAGCGCCGGTAACCTTTCAAACGCCACCTCCTAAGGGCACAGGAATAGGCAGTTCCATAATGTTAGAGATCGTGCAGGTGGGGCAGAAGGTTGGCTTGGCTGAGCAGGGATCTCCTCAAGCTTAGGTGGAAAAATAAAATACGTGGCCACCTGACGCAAGGTGGGGTGACATGGGAGGACAACAGCATGAGAAGACTACAGAGAGCTGCACTGTATGGAGCTGGCCAATAATGTGGGGGACAACAAAAAGGACTTTTTAAAATACCCCACCTAGTTAGAATCATTGAATCATAGAATATCCTGAGTTGAAAGGGACCCACAAAATCATCAAGTCCAACTCCTGGCTCCACACAGAACCACCCAAAATTCAAATGCTCTGTCTGAAGGTTATCCAAAAGCCCCTTGAACTCTGGCAGCTTGGGGCTGCAACCACTGCCTTAGGCAGCCCTTTCCAGGGCCCGACCACCTCTGGTGCAGAACTTGTTCCTAATGCCCACCCTTTCCTTCCCTGACACAGCTCCATGCCGTTCCCTTGGCACTCTGTCACAGGGAGCAGAGCTCAGCGCTGCCCCTCCGCACCCTGTGAGGGGCTGCAGCCGCCATGAGGGCTCCCCTCAACTCCTCTGCTCGGAGCTGTGCAAACCAAGGGACCTCACCACTTCTGATGTACCTTGCCCTCTAGACTTTTTTCCGTCTTCATACATATAACTAGGTGGGTAACTTTATCATAAAAGGAGACTATGATAATTAAAGTTAGTTGACCGTGGGAAGCCAGCTGATGTAAACCTGTAGGATTTCAGCAAAGCTTTTGATGCTATTTCTCATGGTATCCTTCTGGACAAAATGTCCAGCTTACAGCTAGGCAAAAACATAATGTGCTGGGTAAAGAATACACATTTAGTACAGAATGACTAATATTGATGTACAAAGGCAGCACTAAGATACCTAGTTTATCAGCTGTCCCATATGCCAGTAACGTCATTCTTCATGCAATATTTGGCTGATTACAATTTGAGGTCATCAACGCAAACAGAAAATCAACAATGTAAGATGACCTCAGATTAACATTAAATGTCAGCAGGTGTACAAAGTCCAAATACGCTAATACAGCTAAAGTGAGCCTTACAGGATTCCTTTGCATTTAAAGCTTTGCAAGTATCAGCATAAATACTGAATAAAACATAAAATATGGATTCAGCCCCTTTTCTCCCATACTTGATCTTTACCTGCTATTAGACAGAAGGAGTTTGAATTTGGAGGCCTAGTGATTTCTTGACAGCTGATCTGCTTCAATTTTGTTCTCAACCACAAACAGCAGAACTGTTTTCCAACTCAGGAAGAGTGGGAGACCAGGCTGTAATAATGGGCCAACCTGAAATCCGTAAGTGATATCCTGTTTGTTTTTTTTTTCTGTTTGTCTTCCGCCATCCTATTTAACTCTGCTTGGACATAATACCCAGGATTGAGATTCAAATGCATTAAACGAATGCTTAAAGGAAAAAACCAACCAACCAACCAACCAACAAAACCCAACAACATAGCAATTGCACAAAAACAAATTATACAGACAATAATCTGTATGGTACAGACTAAAGTTATTTAAACAACAATAACAAAAAAGATGACTAAGCATTAATAAGCAGCTGAGCTTTGAATTCAGTGTAGTTAATGAGCAGCATAATATCCAATAACAACCTACTGCCCGATGTTGGTATGTTTTCACATTTCTTGGAAATCTAGGCTGTGTGACATTCAGTCAGTAAGAATTAGGACATCACTTCAGAATAGTGAATTTACTAGCTGTCATTCAAGAAGTAAGACTATGTTGTGCAAAGTTTATCTTCCTGTGAACACAACGAAATGGACTTGTGCTTTGTGTGAAACACTGAAAATACTCAAAGTTGGCAGTTCCTTTTGGTATTGGGTAGTTCAGTCTTATTAGGAATAGGTTAAAACGTAAAAAATTTCAGTGTTCACTAATATACTCTGCTAAAAAATGCTCTCTAAATTTAGCCTATGCAGATATAATTGTTACAAAATAACACTTTTTACTATAAGTCTGACATGTGGTCAGTGAACATTTAGAAAACTAACTTTGCTGGGGATATGAGTTTCACAAAAACTAAGTTACATTTTCTGTAGGCCAAAAAGGAAAAATTAAAAAAAAAAAAGTGCAAGCAACTGTGAATTTAAATTAAAAAATTGGGGCAGGAAATAATTCTATAAATTTCAAAAAAAAACCTCTTCATTTTACAACTTTAACACAAAGATTTCTAGTGCTTAAAATCTCCTAACAAATGGTACAGATCTGTACTTTATGAAAATGTATATTTGCAGTAGTATATGATGTTCATGGTATTAAAATTTGAGGTAAAATAATTGGCCAACATTTAGGGCTTTTGTTACTAACAATGATAAGGGTATCCTGCTTTTCTGTATTTATTTTTTTTTAATTACTCTTTCCCAGCAGCATGAAACACGCTTGACTATTTTAGTACAATGTGCATTAAAACGAGCATCTTCAAAGCTAAGAGTCAAACACTGCCACAATAATTATATGGCACTTCATAATACTTGATACTTGTAAGGCCCTTAGCTATCATCTGAGTAAAGAGGCATATACTCTGTGCTTGACCTGTATTTGAAATTACTTTTATTCCTGCTAGGGAGTAGGGTTTGTTCTTTTGTTGGTTTCAGCAAAAAGACAGTTTTTTTATAGACAAAAAGACAGCAACGTCATGGTTTTTTGCTCCTTAAAAAATAGATCACTTCACTTGACAACTAGCACTATTTCATGAAGATCTGATTTTCCCAAATCTTTTTCTGATTTGGGAAGATCTCAGAAAGCTTTTCCTCTCTCCACATACTTTGGCGTTGTACTGGGATAATACAGGACATTCAGACTTGCTGAGCATCTTTAGCATCTTGAAGCCCTTTTTGAGGTCTAGAAAGAATATTCTCTTTCTGGGCTTACTCATTAGAGAAATGACACTGAGTTGTCTATGGATAGGTCCAGCATATAAGTTATATTTCAAAGAAGAGACTGTTTTCCTAGTGAAAATTAGATTTACATTTTCTAACACACCTAAGTCTCAAATTCCAATATGATTAGTTGGGTCCTTGGAAGTCAAGATTCTGATAAGCAAAACATGCTTTTGGCTGCATTAAGAACAATCTGTTTTCCTCTCTTCTGTTTTTGTCAGGAAAAGCTCATGATCTAATCAGTATTTACTAAAAAATACTGTCTTCCCCTCAGAGAGAAACAACATTTTGATATTAAAACCATGATGACTTCAGCATGTCTTTAAAATGAGTGTAGTCAATACCCAGCTTTATATCCTTAGTTAACTAACTAAATACACACCTGTACTTCAAATGCAAGCATTACAATGTCTGCTATGCATCCCAAACCTGAGCTTAACTAAGTCACCATTTGGCTGCAGTTGTAGCTTAATTGATTGATTGCTGTTTAGTTGAAGTCTTGAGGAGACCCTCTGCAACTTACAGGTGTGAATACATTCCTGACCACTGTATTGCATGCAGCAACTCACAGGTGTGCAGTGACACCACAAGTATTGCAGTCAAGCATTAAATCAGCTCCACAAACAGTAGAATTATAAAATCATATGTAGAATATTAACGTTGTAGATGTTGCTGTGGTGCTGTCCAAATGTTACTTTTTCACTGCTGTTTGCACAGAGCTTTGTGTGCCTGCTTGCGTTAGGACTAACAGTGCTGCTGGGAGTTACCACAGTACCTAGAAACAAGGAAAAACCTACTGCAGCTACCACACTGTGAACACAACTTGGTGCAGGTGTCAGTGTTTATAACAGGAGCATGAAACAAAGCCCCAGCATGCATTATGTGCCTTTTTAGCATTGTAGTGCTTAAATTTGTGCATGAGGAAATCGGGTCGGTTTGGTTGAAGTCCATAGTTAAGGCCTGTTCCTGTATTTAACACCTGTGACCGCTTCATCTGTTCTTCAGCATTTAAAGCAGACACCTGCAAAGGGTTTCTGGAGGAAGTGGGGCAGGAAATCCCAAAGCAATCACAGTCCCTGTTTTCTAGTTCAGAACTAAGATTAGGCTTTAGAAAAACTCAAGCCTTCTGCTGCCAGGGTCACCATTCACACAAAACTTGTTTTGTGTAACCACACCAGACTTCCATATGCGTGCCTTGCCCTTCAGGATCTTTTGGTCGCTAACTTAGAAGCATCTGTTTCCCTATATAAATACAGACATCGGGAGTACACACGCTGGAATCCCTCCTACAACGTTTTGCTACCACATAGCACAGCCACGAGGCTGGATTTCTATCACACCTTCAGCAGGCAGTCAGCGAGGCGCAGAGAACCTGCTTTAGCGGGGGCTGACGACTTCCAGAAGCCCCTTCCAGCCCCCGCGGTTCTGTGATTCTGTGACGCTAACGAGCACAACAACCAACGAAAGCGTTTCCTCCCCGACGTGGCAGCGGAGCAAAACCCCGAGCTCGCGCTGCGCTCACCCCACGAGGCGCGCGACGGGGCACGGCGGCTGAGGAGCGCTGAGGCGGCGCGTGACGGCGTAGCGCCCCCACAGGGCGTCCGTCCGGGCCGCGGTATCCTTCCGCCCGCCCCATGATGCCCCGCGCGCCCCGCCCCGCCCCTCCGCCCGTTTAACTGACAGCTTTTAAACCAAAGTTTCGACAACCGAGGAAACAGCTGCAGCGAGATAGCGAACCCAGGCCAGCCCCGCCTTCTACGAGAAAGGCGAGTTCCCCAGAGGAGTCCCTCAGCGGCCGGGCCGGACCCGCGACGGGCCGCGCCGCCGGCGTAGGCGCCGTTGCCGCACCCGTCACTGCGGCGACTCCCGCCGCGCCGCGCGGGTTGCGCGCGCAGCCGCCGCCCTGTGGCGCGGGGCGGGCGGTGGGCGGGGCGGCCGGGCGCTCATTTCCTCCTTGGGCGCCATTTTGTAGCGCAGAGAATCCGCAAATAAAGAGCGGGCGGGAGCGGCGCGCGGGGACGCGCGGCTGGGGGGGGACGCGGCGGCGACCCCGGCTGCAGATCGGCGGGCCCGGCGGCGGGCGCGGAAAGCGGCGGCGGCGGCGTTCGGCCCTCGATGTGACGGGTGCGGCCCAGGCAATCGAGCGCGCTGCAGAGAGAGCGGGCCTCCGCACCGCCGGCGGGAGGTGAGCGGACGAGCGAGGGCCCCTCCCCGCCGCGGAGCTCACTGAATGCGGCGGCGGGGCCCGGCGAGCGGCGAGCACCTGGCGGTCCGGACCTCATCTCGGGCGGGAGGGGAGCGGAAGCGCGTAGAGCCATTTTGTGCGAGGCCCGGCGCCCCGCGGGGAGCCTCCTACCCCGCCCTCGGCCGCGCCGCACCCCGGCGCCGTCCGCCTCGGGGAAGGCGGGAGGGGGCGGGCAGGGCCGCGGCGGGGTCTGCGGCTGCGGCGGGCCCGGGCCGCGGGGCTCCGCGCAGGAGGCGGGGCTGGGCCGTGGGGAGGGGCGGGGGCGGGCGCCGAGGCGGTGTGAAATCATCCCGCGGCGGAGCGTGAAGTGTATGCAAGTGTGAGTGTGTGTGTGTGTGGGGAGAGGGTATGCCTTTTTTTTTTTTCTTCCTCCCCTTCTCGCGGAAGCTCAGAAGCTTTGCCGGGGTTTCCCCACAGCGCTCATTTACATATCATTAAAATAACTGGCAGTTACTTGAAGTATAACTAGGAAAGCAGCAGCTTGCTCGCATCTAATGCTTAACTACTTAGCTTCTTCGCTTCCTTTTCCTATTTAAAGCCCCAGCTTGATAAAAGTTTTCAGTGAAAGCTGTGCAGGCTACCAGGGCTTCCAAAAGCAAGGTGTGCTTTCTCCATTTTGGACTTTTTGTGTTTAAATTGTCATAAAAACCCTGACGAAATCCTGTACGGCCTCTGTTAGTGGCCGTGAGAACATTAAATACAGGGCGTAACTTTATATTGAGAAGATGCAGAGAGTGAGATGTAACAGCTGACATTGCCCAAACAGTTGTGGAAGTGCTTAGCTGGGATACTGTGGTTAAGCTGTTCATCATGTAAATGAACTTTAAAAGAAGGTTGTTTGGAAACATTGTTTTCATTGTTTTTTTCATTATAGAAAATTACACTTACTGTGTTCTTGAAAAACATTCCAGAACTGTGTGGCAGAGAGATCAGCTCTTTTTCAGAGGGCAGGTGAGCAATGAAGAGTGCCTTACTGCGCAGCACTTGGAAAGCCACTAAGTTGAGTTTAGAGTGAAAGTTTCAGCTGTCACGTTATTGTCAGTAGTGCGTAAATATATGTCTTACAAAGATGATTGCTGTGACAACTGAGTGTTACGATCAGCCTGATGCTTATAATGCTTCCAAAAAAACCACTGAGACTGATGGTAGAAGTTCAGTCCATGCGAATTATAAATTCCTGATCTCTTTTTAAGTCACTTTAGATCCCCAAACTTGGATGGGAATTGGGGGTTGAAACTCACACATACAGAAAGAGCGCTGTTACCTATCTGCATATGTAGTCAACCTACGTTTTTCCAAGATAACTTGTTGAATTTTGTTAGTAAACTTTTTTGTAGTGGTGTTTTTATGTCTATCACTGCAAATGATAACAAGTGATAGTAAAACTACCTTCTGTAATGCAGTGGCCTGTAACACCCATCTTCCTCACTGTTGCTGAAGGATCTTCAATAGGTGGCAAGAGATAGTTTTGTTGTAAATGTTGGAGAAGAAATGTGCTGCTGATGTAGAGAGCTAAGTGTTGGGATCTTGTGCTCGGCCTGCACATGCAAGGTAGCCCAGGTTTAGACAGAGCATCAAACTTACGTTTTCTCCACACTTGTTGCAGCACTCAAGCATTTGTAAGTTATATGCTGCTGCAGCATTCATGTTTGGGCAAACTCAGCTTTTTTTTGGCATTTGCATGCTTCTGTTACTTTTTGGAGGAACGTGCAATTAAATAATTGCATCATCTGTGCATGATTTAATTGGTGCTAGCTGTAGGTTTAGTCCTCTTGAATGTAGGAAATGGTGCTTCTCTCTGGCAAGGACTTAGAATCATAGAATCACTCAGGTTGGAAAAGAGCTTAAAGATCATCGAGTCCAACCATGACCTAGCCATACTACCTAACTAACAATCCTCTGCTAAATCATGTCCCTGAGCACCACATCCAGATGGTTTTTAAACACATCCAGGGATGGCAACTCAACCACCTCCCTGGGGAGCCTATTCCAGTGCTTAACCACCCTTTCAGTGAAGGGTGCACTTGAATGGTGCTTAAGTTTTCAAGGCTGGTACTTCCAAATACAGAAGCAGTAAAAGATTCCTAAACATTTTTAGGAAAATTGTAATTGAAGTAGGCAACTTAAATACAGGGGTCACTAGCATTCTTCTTCCAATCTCTAAGTTATTTTGTATTGGTTTGAATGAGCGAGTTGAGCACCATTGAGTTCATATTTAGCCTCTTGAATATATTCAAGTTACATGTTAAGTGAAGCAGGAGCTGTGCCAGAAGTTAAAGTACTGAGGAGTGGGGAGGAGAGGACTTTCTATCTTGGTGAAGCATTTCAATATCTGTCATGTAGGCTAGGAACAGGAAGCTTCCATTCATCAGTGAGATGCTTCTACTACATGTTTTTAGAGCCATTCCCATGGATTCTGATGTCAGTTTCTATTTTATGAAGGGCTTAGAATCTGTTTCCTCTTTGTGCTCTGCTTGCTGTCTTCTTAGAGTTTTCATTTTTTTTTTTAAACTTAATTTGAGGGGAGTGTACTCTGCCTACTTATCAGTGGTTAGTAGGTTTGTGTAAGGTGAAGTGATTGTGCTTTATGTGGGATATATTTGTGTTATTGACAGTACGGGGCTCTTAGGAATTGTAGAAGTTAAATTTGTTCACTGAGTGCCTTTGTGAATATACCAAAGATGCTTTGTGTGAGTCTTTTTGAAAACAGTTTGTTTTTTTTTAATTGAAGTGCATTGTTTTCATGAAGTTGTGTTCATGACCGAGGAGTTGGCCGCATACTTTTTCTAATATATATGAGTTGCAGCAGCTTTACAAACCTGTCAAATCTCAATGCTGTTTGCAGCTTTGTATTGGAAGGCGCATTGCAGAGGTGCATGCCTCTAAAGAAGTTCAACTTCCTTGTTAATGCTGTATGTTTAAGAGTTTTTGTGGGCTTGATTTTTTAATGTTATCACTCGTCAAAAAAAATCTGTTTGCAGGTGAGGAAGCATGTCTGGTAACTCAAGGAAGTGTGAATATTTAACTTAGCACAAATGCAGTCTGATTATGGTACAAACACACAAGACAAATGAAATTTGATAGTGTACCCAGGCCATTAACTGACATACTACCTTCCCTAAAAATAACCAAGAGGGCTTTTAAGTAACTGCTTAGTATTTATTTATCACAATCTTAAAGGTAGTGTAAGAGTTCAAAGCACATAATGTAACCCAAACTTTACAGGTAATGTTCCCAAATCATTTGCTTTATTCTAAAATGGTACTAAAGTAGTAGTATTAATTACTTTTATAGTTGGTGTTATCCCCTTCCTTGTGAAACACTGCATTAAATGGTTTTGGACACACAGGAAATGTCACTTTGCCTACATTTATTTAAATTAACAAAGTCTGATGTTTTGTTCTTAGTTAAGTTGAAAAAAATATTACTAGTAGCATTTTTAGATGCTAAAGAAAGCTTTGGCTCACTTCTAGGAAATAGTCCACTGACTTTTTAGCTTGATGACAACAGTAAACTTGTCTTAGTTATAATCTGGTTATATGTTGTGTGGAGCCAACATTTCAGTAATCTAGTATCAGAAATAGAGAAATCAAGAATAGAAGTACAGGTGTCTTACTGACTATTTCATACACAATAGTAACTAAACTAACTAACGGCTAAACTAACTAACGCTCCTTTTCCCCCCCTTCAGAGTTCACAATGACGAATGAAGAACCTCTCCCAAAGAAGGTATGTTTAAAAATATTTGTGTGCTCCCCCCCTCCCCCCAACCCCAAGTAGTCATGATAACTTGGTAAGTTGTGCTTCTCCTTTTGCTCCACAGGTTCGCCTTAGTGAAGCAGATTTTAAAGTTTTGCCTAGAGATGAACTTATCCTAAGGTAAAGCATCAGGTTTTTGGTTTTTTTCCTATGGCAACACTATTGAATTCTTCACAGAAGATGTAATGTACCCCTCCCTTGGTTTTCAGCGCTCTTGTTTTGAAAACTTACAGCATTTTGACAGTGCATCTTTTTTTAATGCTTTCATACTCAGAAATATTTTTATACATAGTTTGTGTCCTTCAAGAAAAAGTGTTTCCCCTCAAAGTCCTAGAAACTGTTTTCTAATCCATAAGTAGGAGTTGGTTTTTTTCTTCACTTGCAGCCTTAGAAGTCAAGGTTGTGTACATTCCTTGCTAGATAGCACACTGTTTTTAAACATCACAAAAAGTAAACTACTTAGTGCTGCAGGACTGTCCTGGTCCATGCAGTTGTCTTCTCAGCACATTCAGGTATTAACAGTAAAATGTCAAAAACAAGATTAACACATAGAACTTGTGTATAGAAGAGTGCAGTTATGTTTTTCACCTTACAGAAAATTAAGGGTTGCCATGGAAAACAAATCAAGGATTCTGTCATATAGACCACTTGATTAAAGAAACAGACCAAGGCACAAGTATACAGAGCCTGTATATCTGAATTTCCTGATTGATAACTAAGTGAATCTGTGGGTCATTTATTTATCTGGTAGAGTAGTTTGTGCATTTTGAAAAGCTTTAGCTCTTGACTTTTGTGCATTGTAAGTTATTTGCAAGTCTCCTGAGGTGGTTAAATGTTACCATTTCATAGATGAGTTTAAAGGGTTAAATTGTGTAAGAATACAGGTCCAACACAGCTGGTACTATTTGTGTTAGCTACTACTGGAGTGACATTTATTCCACTGGGATCAGCGTCATCCTTTCAAACTGGTCTCTGGCTTCATCTCCTCAATATCTATTCTTTTGGGAGTGAAGAGGAAGGTGTTTACATAGAAAAATGCTGCTTTGGTACTGGGTGGTTTAGGTCTTGGGAACCTTGAACAGAAATTTCCATACTCAGGAATATCTCTGGGGATGTTCTTGATTGCTTTCTGCTATAGAAGTTGATATCTGTTGTTTGTTAAAAGGAGAATACAGTGGAATCTGCCCAAGGAGCTGAAGTATGTCAGCAAATAAAATGAGTTGATGAAGAGATAGAAGGCAATGGACTGATGACAGCTGTGTTGTTATTGTCATCCTTTTAATGTGGATGAAACAACAATTGTTCTCAGAAAGGTCTTATTGCTTTAAGGAGAGTAACTGTCCTTATTTAAATGCCATCCCGGCCATGTCCATTTTGTTTGCATTCAGCAGTCCTGCAAACACTTTTTAAAATTTCATCTATGTACGTAAAGGATTTACACTAATCTTGATTTTGTTTGTCTTCATGTGAAGTTGGCAATTACTGCACTTACTGCTAACTTCATTTGTAGGTTGGAATAAAATGTTATGCCATTATGCAAGTATCATTTTTATTAAAGGCATCTCCACTGCTTTCAGGCATAGAAAAATGTGTTGACCCCTTCCACATCATCTTAAAATAAGATGGAGAATATTTGTGTTCTTTTTTTTCCCATGCTTCAGTGGGGCCTATGCTTTTAAAATAATGGTGTGTGTCATCTATGGTTTTGTTCTTAGAGCTGATGTGTTAGCAGCTCAACTTGCCCAGAGATAAATTGCATGTGTGGAAAATACTAATGCTTTCTGTCACTTCCTCTGTGTTGTGTTGAAACTTCACTAATATTTTCCACAAAGCATGTAATTGAGGTTTGCTGTTGCTTCCACTGACTGAAAGTGAGCAGGAGCAACAGAATTTGTCTGGCGTTTGGGGTATTTCCTTGTCTTGTTGCAGCTGTGGTATCACCTGTTTATCTTCCCCTTCTCTTCAGTAGGGTGGGCACTTGGAAGCTCCTGTCAGTCTGTGAACGAGGAAGAGCTGGGAACATGATAGCAAAGTGCTCTGTAGATCATAGCTTAAAAAAAACTTCTTATCTGAATTCCCTGGGCTGTTTAGCTTAGTGATCAGTATGCTGAAGTACCTATATTTACTCAAGCGGTGGGTGAAATATGGTGCTTTTACTGACTTCTTCTCAATGTGTCATACAGCCAGTCGGTTTTGGAATGGCTTAGGCTCAGTGCTGTTTTTTCCTTCAGGTTGGCTTCAGAAATGTTCTCGAGAAATGTTTTGTTGGTATGGTTTGTAAATACTTTGACTTTAAGAAAAAAATCTTGATAATTACTGCAGTGTCAGGTATTTTTGTAGTTAAAGAGCTGCAATTGCAAAATGTGTTGAAAGGAAATTTACTCACCTTCAGTGTGGGCCTATGAACTACTTGTTTCATGCAGATAATTTTAAACTTCTGTTATTTCATTTTCTGTTTGGATGCTTTTAGCTTAGTAAATTGTTACAATGGTTTAAAAGAGGCCTAATTGTATGAAATGAACCTGCTTTGGTTTTTTGTCTTTATAATTGCTAGCTTTTTGGTTTGCCCAAAGGAAGGTAAAAATCTGATTGCTGGAACAGTTTGAGATCTGTAGTTGTACCAAAATTACTGAGACCGCGCTCATCTACAACATTGAAGCTGCTTTAGTGGAAAACCTCTGATTTTTGAACTTGATGACTTGATTGCTGGAGTTTTCTCTGTCAGTGTGGTGATCACAGGTTTATTCTGTACAGTTTCTTAAACATACTTGGAGAGGAGCTAGTGCAGTATTTGCCAGGTTTTGTCTGTTTTGACAATGTGTAGGTAATTTTGTCTTGAAGGTCACTTTTCTGGAGGAGCTGGGAGTCATGCGACTTGGAAAGTCCATGACATGTTCTAATACAGTCTCTGTTCTTTTCCAGGAATTGAGATCTTGCTTAGATGCTAGGACTTACTGAGAGGTGATCTAGAGATGGTAGCTCTGACTTGTGTGGTGACCACAGACTGTGTGTTTTCTTTCTCATGGTGGTCTGTTACATCTGCCTAATCTGTGTTTCAGGGCTTTGTTTTGCTCACTTTGTATTGCTCCTGTTACTGATCAACAGATCTCAGTTTTGACAGAGCTGTTGTTTTCAGGCTGTGAGAGAACTCTGCCAAATAATGCTGCATTTGTATTTGAAGACTTGCTTTTTTATTCTTTCATGTAGTTAATTTGTGTAAAATACAGGTTCTTTCTGTATTTGCTATTTAGTAGACTGTTTCAGTTTCCCTTTTTGAGGGCTGTTGTTTTGACTGTATGCTGTACTTCTACTGGTCAAACTATGAAACCTTTGTTTCTAACCAGAAGTGTTTTTTTAAACGCAGTTAAAACACTAAGTTTAAGGGTTTGGTGGGAGTGCTGCTACTCTCCTACAGATCTTAAATGTGCTCATTGCTAATTCAGCTAAAGATATATATATATTTATTGCTAGAAGGAATCTTCTGCAGCTTTTGTATTTCTCACTGATGTGATCTCACATGCTGATATGGATCAGGTGCTTCACAGGCCATTTCTAGATTGCTTGTTTATTAAACCATCCGGATCTTATAGTTTAGAGGTAGTATTTTTATAGGTTAGGAAATAATTATGATGGGTCTGGTACAAAATGGTGGGAAAGAAAAGGGTGAATTGGGAGGGAGGGAAGAGAAACCATCCATTTCTCTAGTGGTAAAGTTTGTTAGGTGAACTTCTTTTTTTTCTTGTGAAATCATAATGTTGTGAAAAAGACATACAGTTAGTAGTACTCCTGTGCTTCCCCCCTAAAACAAACAAAAAACCGCAACCTAAACAAACCCAATGGCAATAACCAAACAGAAAGGACCAAAACAAAAGCAACAATAACAAAAAGTAGCAATGCACCATGTTTGTTGATGAGTCATGGTAAACTTTACTGTAGACTTCATTTGCTGTTGATTTGATGGTTTGTATCAGATGCAATGCTGCTTCTCAGTGTGAAGTTTTCTGAATCTGGATGGATCACATTAACAGCATAAGTTGAAAGAGTTATTTAATTGGTTGGCCGTTCAGTAAATATTGCCAGTATGGTCTTGTTTTAAATGAGCTGTAATGACTGCTTAACCTAGACTGCAGGCTGTAGTGTACCACTGATATATACTTGCTTTGCTGTTCACTTGCTGACAGATGTGTATTATCCTTGTGTTATGGCTTCTATTACAGAATTCTGTTTACATTGTTCTGCTTTGACAATGAGAGGCTTCCTGGATACTTAGCACAGATAACTAAGTAATAAGTCTTTGATTTGATTCTAGAGTTTGTAAAAAAAAAAAAAAAAAAAAAAAAAAGTTAGAAGTAGTTTGTTTTTAAAAGGTAAATATTGAGTGATAACAAAGAACTTTTCTTTCACAATGCAGAATGGAGTTACCTTTTTCCATAGAACTGTCTTTTATTCAATTGCGTGATTATCTCTTGACATTTTCTGATTTAATTGTAAATATATTAACTAAAAATTTAGGAATTAGATGCTTTGATTTTAATAAATAGCTTCAGAAAAACATTTTTCTTTCTGCAATAGGTGGAAACAGTATGAAGCATACGTGCAAGCTTTGGAGGGCAAGTACACAGACCTTAATTGTAAGTTAGCAAAGTTTCAAAATTGTGTGAGTTGCCTCAATGTTTTGAATGTTTGTGTAAAGCTGAGTTGTCAAATAATGTCATGTTACTGTTAAAAATAATAAATACTCATCAGAAGTACGTCATATTATTTTTTTTAAGTAAAGTCCTTATTTTTCCCAGTAGGAGTTTTCAGACTTCCCCAGTTTTTCAAGTAACTTCTTTTTCTTTGCCAATCTTAAATGACTTCTTAAAATTCTGTTTTTGCATTTGTGGGACCATCAATAAATGAACTATTAGGCAAAAACACAACCCCGCAAATAGCTTTATTTTCAGAATTCTTGCAGTAGTGGAAAGTTTTCCTCTATCAAAATACTGTGAATGTTTGTGCTTTCAGTAATCTTATCCAATTGTAAATCATGTGGGAGGGAGAACAGTTCCTAGAGGTACAGATCTAAAATGAATATCCAGCTGATTCTTTATCTGACTAGGTAATTTGAATTAACAGTTTGAATGTCAATTTTATGTAATCTTAAACGTTGGGCTGCACTTTCAGTCTTTTGAAAGTGAGACTATTGGAAAATTTCATCCTATTCTCAATTGAGAAGGTCTGAATACATTCGGGAAGTGTCTGATTTACCAGTCTGAAGTCAGTTTTAAAAGTTATGTGAGCAGCTTGGAACTCTTCCTGTTTTCTGTTCACCTTATCAGCCTCAATACCCAAAATCTTGGTAGCAGTAATTTTGAAGGGGTTTCTTTTTTGTCAGTCTTCAGATGTTCCCTCTTACCTCTGTTGTTACATCTCATCTACTATTATATATGCAACAACAGCAAATTAGAAATAATAGTTGTGATGTTTGTGCTTAAAGGAGGTCTAGTACTTGTCTTAAAAAATAAATAAATAAATAAATAATAATAATAATAAAAAAAAACAACCTTAATTATTCCAGCTTTCAGTCATTATATATTTGGCAGGTAGTGGAGTAAATGTATTCTATTTGTATTAGGCTGCTTGCACGTGTTCCAATTTTTGGATAACTTGGAACTGTGGCTTTCTTCCATATCTTGTATATTAACTTTTATAACTCTTCATGGATCAGAAGACATACCTGTGACTGATCTGTCATCTCTGACGTCATTCTCCACTGACTTGCTGTTCACTCTTAAAGTGTTGAAATCACTTTGAGAACTGATCACATGTGACACCATTTGAGACATGGAATTTGCTACAAATGTCAGGAGAGTTTCAGCTTCCCCAGTTTCACAATGCAAACAATAGTGGTGAAAGATGGAGCAGTTGTTTAATTAATCAAAAGTTAGTTCCTTTATAAAGCATGGGAACATTTTCAAATTTAGTAGTAAGGGAGGATAGCTGTATTTAAAATGAAACTTGTCAAGCTTTTTCAAGAACTTAATGATACTTTGAGATTTTTGTTACTCATGCTTATAGTGGTGGTTAATTTAACTCTTTTGCTGCCAATGAATTTGACTATCAGCTATTTTTTTTTTTTTCAAGCTGTCTTGAAAAAATGTTTGGGAAAGGATGCTTTAAAACCTGTGCTTTTTGTTTTATTAATTTTATCAGCTAATGATGTGACGGGATTGAGAGAATCTGAAGAGAAACTGAAACAGCAACAGCAAGAATCTGCCCGAAGAGAAAATATTCTGGTCATGAGGCTGGCAACTAAAGAACAGGAGATGCAAGAGTGTACTGTAAGTATTTAGAAATAGGTGTTTTAGGCTGTTCCAGGAGTTAACAGAGAGTACTTATGCTATGTGTTTCATGTATCTGTGCTTAAAAAAAGGCAGGGTACTTAAGCTTTCCCTAAGTTAGTAACTAACATTCTGTAAAGTGTTGTGTTGTTTTTTTCTTTTTTTAAACATTGGTTATTTTGGTTGATTTTCAGCAGCAGTTCTGCTTGGAAGAGCATTGCAATTCTCACTGTACATATTTACCATGAATGTTACTTCTGACTGTCTTTGAATGCAGGAAGGAATTGAAACCAAGATTCAGCATATTGGATTTTATTTAGAATTTTTCAGACTGATGTTTAAGGTGTATTCAGATAACTGTCTTCTGCATCCAATTGGCTGGTTAGAGAGTGCTTTTGAAATGTGTCAGATCTGCTTCTTGGATTTCTAATATTCTTTGTACTGATGCCTTTGTTGTTGCTGTTCTATTTTCTCTCTCCTCTTATTTCTGTTGGTCTTCTGTGTTTTATTTTGGCTTCTTGAAACGGCCTTTTGCCAATTTGGGACTTCTCATGGTTTTGGATTATCTTAACTTCATTAACTCTCTGAGGTGGTTCCTGAGAGAGGATTGTAAGAAGCTTAATGCTAGTTTTTGTAACATACTCATGAGAGCTTCTCTTAATAAGAATATAAGCTCTGAAAAACCAATAACTACTTTTGTCACTTTCTGTTTTTTCCTCCTTTTAGCCTTCCTTTCTTTTTTCCTGTAGGAATCCTGAGCTGTCAGGTATTGCAGGTAGCATAAGATTTAGCCCCGTACACTTTATTTTCCTAAGACTGTCAGACGACATACATTAGTCTGTATTAAGTATTTGTATGGAAAACACCAGATGAAGGAGTAAAACTTACTTTGCAGTGGTTAATAAATATATCACTGGAATTGAAGGGGACTTGTGGATACTGTCTAGTCCAATCTACCTACTCAGAGCAGGGTCAGCTGGAGCAGGTTACTAAGAGCTAAGTCAGATTTTCAGTGCCTCCTGGAATGGAGACTCTACAATCTTTCTGGACACCCTGTGCCGCTGTTCAACCACCTTCACAGTATAAAGCGTTTTCTTATAGTTTAAATGGAATTTCTTGTATTTCATTTTGTGCCCATTGCCTTCTGTCCTTTCAGTGGGCATCAATGAGAAGAGCCTGGCTTCGCCTTCTTTACTCCCCCCACCAGGTATTTATGCACATTGGTAAGATCCCCCCCTCAGCCCTTTTTTTTTCTCCAGGCTGAACAGTCCCAGCTCTCTCAGCCTCTGCTTGTATGTCAGATGCTTCGAGCTCTTTGTTTTGTCCTTCATATAACCCTTCACTGGCTTCACCCTAGTATGCCCATATCTCTTATTGGGAAGCCCAGAACTGAACCCAGTGCTCCAGTTGTCTCACCAGTGCTGAGTAGAGAGAAAGAACGTCCTCCTTCAACCTGCTGGCAGTGTTCCTCCTAATATAGCCCGAGGTGAACATGCATATAGTTCAAAGAAGCATTGGAAGATTTCTTGACTTGTATTATCAAATGTTGTTTTCCCTGTAAAGTGACGGTAGCAAAATAAATTGTTAAATGTGAGCTGTAAAACTAAGCTATAAGTTGCTAAATCATTTGATAGATGAACAAAAACTAGTCACCATATCATAGAAGAATGTGTCAAGTAACATCCATAAAATAACTTCCTTAATTTTTAGCAGTTAAGTGTCTTAAGATTCATATTTATGTGCAAAATATTCCTGTGACACTGAATTATTTGTATGTAAACCTTTTCTATCACATCTTCAGTGTCTGTGTTGTCAAGTTTCCTAAAAACTGCAAGTAATTATTTGCTGTATAATACCTAGTGATCATATTATTCTTAACATATTTGGTGGGACAGGCTGTATTTGCACACTTATCACATTTGAGTCTTGCTAATTTAAATGGAGAAAATTTAAAATGTGTACTGCACCATATTCAAATAGTAATAGTTTACAGACATAAGTGATTTTTCTGATTCCCAAGGTGTGGAACACTTTGCTACTTAATATTCATTGGCCCTGTTTTAAATAGGATGTGATAGACTCTGTCTTGGTTCTCTTTTTAACTTTTACCCTTTTTTTATTAATGACAAAACACAGCAAAATCTCATTAGCTTATAAAAGTCACCAGCGTTCTTGAGACTTTGCAGGCACGTATGTCAGAGTAACAATCACTGTTTATTATAATAATAATAATTGTTATGATTGTGGTATTAAAGAAACATGATGGTAGTTGAGTGCTTACTTCCTTTGTCTGTTGTGCTCGGTTCCCAGTCTGGTTGCAGAGTATATGGATTTCTTTTGAGGTAGGAGCTTACAGAGTCTGACTGGTTTTGCAACCTACTTTGTGTAGTTCAGATTGACTGCTTAAAGGACTGCTTTGTGGCTTACGGATTTAATATTTCAAATATCCCATTGTTCACAGCTACTCTTTTTTACTGTACCCACCTCCCACCCCTAAAAAAAAAAAAAAGGCTGCTAATGATAGGAAAGGACAGGTAAGGTATTGACTATTGTCTCTAAATAGAGCTTTACTTTTAGCAGAGATGGTGATTGTTACTTTAGGGAAAGGCTTTAATCCACTCCTAAGATACTGTAGTGGACAGGTATTAGGAAGTACTTGCCACTCAACAGTTTTCCTGTGAAACAGATAGCAATAATGAACGTAAACTCGTAGGTGTGGATGGATTTGTAGTACTGTGAAAGTAGTTATTAACTTTCTTGTGATTTAGGTTACAAACTTGTTATTTTTTTCTTCATTATCACGTTCCCTCCTTTCTGCTTCTTCCTTACACAAAGTATTTATATTAATGCTTACTTAGATGGCTTGTGCTTCTTCTCGAGCACTTGCTTTCTGTTTAAGTACTTTGTGTCGGAGTATCTGTTCTTCATGGATATCTTTGGGCAGCCTTGCTGAGAAGCTTCAGCTGTTTTCTGGAATGTGAGGAGCCGAGTCTTAAAAAAAAAAAAAGTCCACCCAAACTAAAATGCATTAGCTTAATGGAATACTTCAGCATTCTCTTGCCTTGGGTTAGAGCAGACAAGAAGATTATACTGTTGTTATTGATTCTGTCTGTGAAAATTCATCCCTATTTGTTCACCTTATGTACTCTTCAGAAATACTATCAGTGCTTCAGAAATGTGAACAGTCAAGAGGTATTTTAAGAGTTTGAGTGGACGTGGCTACTCCTGTGTATTCAGCTCTAGCCTGTAATTGAGCTTTTGGACCTTTGCTCCCCACCTCTCGCTCAAGAATATGGAAAGGAAGAGAGGCATGCTAAGAAGTGTTTGGAGGGGGCAAAAATGGGAGACTTGAATTGGCAAAGCGGGAAGGTAAATGGAACAAGGAAGTAGGCAGGATTAGTAGGTACAGGCTTGTTTTGGAATTATGATGGATCTGGAAAAAGTTGCTAGATCTGGATGGATGAAAAGTCAGAACTTTAGAGTTACACAACTGGAGAAAATAATTTTGGAGATATGGAGAAAATGGAGGAATAAATAATCTTCTAAGTTTGGGGAGGGGATAGATGAGTTGGTCAGCTCAGGCAGATTTCTCCTGTGCTGCAGTTTCAGAAATGACAATTGACGAACTATATTGAGCCCACAAACTCTCCCTGCTTGGCCTAGTCATGTGAGCTAGAGATAAACAAATTATGTGCTTTAAATAATTTGCACTGGACAGAATCATCCGGGTTGTATTGAGCTTTTCAGTTCTGACAGCAGTTCTTCATGCTAGTGATCCAGGGAATCTGGTATTATAAGAGGTTAGGAGCTAGGCAAAGAAATATTTTTTTCTCAGTGATGCCTTTCTAGAAATGGATTGCAAACCATGTATTGTGGAATAATGTTGCCAGCTGGAGGTGTGTCACTGTCTGCAGAGTTCTGTTAAGCAAGTGGTTTCATTCTCTAGCACTTTCTCTCAGAAGCAGTGACAGGCTGTTGAAATACTTCCATTAGTGCAGACATCAGAAATGTTAGTGGACATATATATAGGGTCACTTAAATGATCAGAGGAATGGAGAACCTCTCCTATAAAGAAAGGTTGAGGGAACTGGACTTATTTAGCTTGTGATCTTCTAGTACTACAGAAGGTAGCATATTGGAGCACATGAGCAGGAGGGGGAACAGCTGTTTACAAGGGTGGATAGTGATAGGACAAGGGGGAATGGTTTTAAACTGAGACAGGGGAGGCTTAGGTTAGATATTGGGAGGAAGTTTTTCACACAGAGGGTGGTGAACACTGGAACAGTTGCCCAAGGAGGCTGTGGATGCCCCATCCCTGGAGGCATTCAAGGCTGGGCTGGATGTGGCTCTGGGCAGCCTGGTCTGGTGGTTGGTGACTCTGCACATAGCAGGGGGGTTGCAGCTAGATGATCGTTGTGATCCTTTTCAACCCAGGCCATTCTATGATTCTGTGATAACAGTAAGTTAAATAACTTAATAAATGAGCAAGACTTTGTGCATTCAGTGAGGTGAAATTTCCATGGAGGATGCAATGCTATACAAGAAATGTTAGGATAATCTTAATTTGGCTTCCTTTTTATAAGTAACGTTTATATGAATGGATTCTTGATTACGTATTTCTTGAAAGTATTTTTTGACTCAATGCTTTACTCCCTTTCTGTTTCTGAATACATAGAAGTTGATCTACTTAAAATTGCTTTTAAAAAGTTTGATTATTTCAAATATTTTTTTTCTCAAGTAGATAAATATTTATATCAAATGAAGTCAGTTCGAAGTATTTCATCCATTTCACTAGCTTTAGAATCACATATTTATGAAAAAGAATCCAAGTATTAGTGCTATTTGATACATAAATTAAACCACATCTTCCTAAATCAGTTAGTGACTCTGAGGTCACAACTACACATCTTTTTAAAAATTAAACAGTATCTTCATACTTACACTTTCTTTTCACCGACTGCTGCTGATTGTGCTGTGTTGTAAGCAAAGCAAAGAGTGGGGGGCAGCTTAACTCTTCCCCTTGATTTTGCTGGTAATGGCTTGTACTGTTCATTTTAACCTGGTCGGAAGATTTGTGTGCAGCGGAAGGCAAAACCCCTGACTTTGAATTAATGTTTCTTATTCAGTCTGTAAAGTCAGCGTGTAAATGTACCTCTAGGTGACCAAGAAATGTGTAATAGGAGCATCATAAATTGAACTTAAGAATGAATAGTTTCTGTGCAGGCTAAAATGATTTTACTTACTAGCTGAAGGAAGATTTAAGAAACTTTCAAAAAATATATTAATTCAGTATAAGTACAATGAAGTTTTGATCAATAAGTGCACTATATTTAAAATAAATTATTATCAACATTCCAGGAGTAAATGTAAGACTGGGTTTTCTAGGGTTTTGCTTACTGCAAGTGAATCAAATCAGTCTAAACTTAATTGATGTGAGTGGCTCTAAATGATTTTTTTTTTCAAAAAGAAGAAGGTGGCAACTTGCAGCATAGTTACCATGCTTACAAAAACACATGTGTTTAGAAACATCTTACAGTAGATACGTAAAGATATTACAAACAGTAACCTCAGTGTTCTAGAATAACTTTCACTGAAGTTGTATGGAAATCAGTCATTCTAAGCAGGCAGCTCTTTGTATCAGTATTTTTCTTTGGAAGTATGCAAGCAGTTTTAAAAGAAAAGGGAGAACTATAATGTTCCAGTAGTTCAGGCACGTGTTAACTGATGTATAGAAAACAGCTTGAAACAAAAGAAAAAGTTTGGCCTTGAAAGTAGTTTTGAAGGCTTCGGCAGGATTGGGATTGGGAGATTGGGTGAATATGCTTATTGATAAGGGCAAAGGTGGGCAGAAGTTATTTTTATTCTGTCCTTAACAGGTTAGAACGTTGTAAGAAGGCAAGTTTTCTTGGAGTGACTTTGGAGTCTTTGGAGTGACTATTTTTAATCCTATCTAACTGATCATAAACGTATTGAATTATGTATAAATAAATCTCTTTTCTTATTTTGTGCAGAATCAGATTCAGTACCTCAAGCAAGTCCAGCAGCCTAGTGTTGCCCAACTGCGATCAACAATGGTGGACCCAGCCATCAACTTGTTTTTCCTAAAAATGAAAGGTGAACTGGAACAGACTAAAGACAAACTGGAACAAGCCCAAAATGAACTGAGTGCCTGGAAATTTACGCCTGATAGGTAAACAAAACAAATACTCCCCAGTCAAGACTTCCCTGACAGTCCCACTACGAGAATGCTATGGTGGGACAGCCAAGTACTCGTTTCCACACCAAGACTCAGACGTTTTGAGGCAAAAGCCACATTCTTATACTGTCCAGCTTGTAATGCTTAATGTAAAACTTACCAGATGAACCTTGTGTTTCAGCTTTTTTCTCCCCCTTTGCTTCAGAGGCCTGACGGCGTCGGACTATTCTGAAGAAATTGCCATCTCCGAAAAAAAAATATTTTCTAGAACACGTAGACATTTGCAAAATTGTTCTATTTGAAGAAAATAGAGGGAAAAACAGAAGTCTTAAGTCTGTGGCACACTGTGTCTACAGACAGTTTGGAGGAAAGAACCTAGAGATTATAAATCATGAATTGAACATGCAAAATTCCCGTAAAATGTAGAAGTGGAATATGCTTCGCTCTTAACCTTGAGCCTAGTGACTTAGAGACACTAAGTCAGTTTTCCAATAAGACTGTGGACTTCCTGCTTGTTCACTGAACTGCTGGGTCAAAACTCGATGAGGTGAATTTTGCATTAAAGAGTTTACTTGCTAACCAGTTTTGAATAGCCACGAGAGTGCTATTTGATATCACTTCAGTGGTAGTGTACACATTTGACTGTTAAGCATTTGGGCTCTGTAACACCTGACGGAGCCTTAAGTCAATGTTGCTTAATAATGAACTGTTCTGGATGGTTGGTAATGCTGTGGACGCCTCAAAATTAGGACTGTACAAGAACGTACATTCAATCTAATTGCAAGTTTAAAGTTGTTGGAAGCAGTATATATTTGATCACAACTAGCATGTATAAGAAAAACTAGTTGTGATAAGTATTACACTGCATGTTTTCATGCAGAAGTGAGATTTTTTTTGATCTTCTATACTAACTGCTCTCAAATGCTCTATGCGGAAGGCACACAATGACAGCTGTCTTCAGTGTTGGTGGGGTGTTTTTATTCCTTTGTACACCTGTTTTTTTGTATTGCACTTCTATATAAAATGTGCCTTGAAATAGTTGTAATATATAGTTCAAGGAACACTATTGGTTATATTGTTGTACTGTGAAACTCCTGGGGTGAACGAGAATCAAACAGGTTGTTGTTTCTGCATTGTCTCGTTCTCTGAATTTAAAAAAAAAAAAAAAAAAAAAAAATTAACAAAGCACAAGAAGTTAAATGCATGCATTTTCCTTGGTGGAATCAGTGAAGGAACCTTTGCTACTCTATTGATGCCTCTGTTCTGTTGTCCCAAATTACTTGTAAGAGTAGCAACAGGGGACAGCTGGGAGTGCAGATCTGAGGTGTGTAAAGTGAAATGCAGATTTGATATAGCATTTGTATATTTATTTTTTATCTTGGCAAATTGAGCTCTAGTAAACTAAGTTTTTGATTTTTCAAACCAGTTGGATGACATTTTATGACTGTCTGATTCTAGTAAATGCAGTTTTAAGTTAAAAAGAGATTCAGCTGTCACAGAAGGTGATGTATTCTCTTTCAATGATTTTAACTAAGATAATGTTACATATTTTTAACTTACATATTTTTAACTGTGCGCTAGATGGATTAATATGGGATTGAAGATTAGTGTACTTATGCAGATTTATTTTTTTGCATGAGTAATGATTTAACAGCAAAGAAAAACATCTAGAAAAACTTTAAGTGATTCATCTGGGATTATTTTGCTATAGCAGAGTCTAAGATTTTAATGATCTAGCATCAAAACAGAGGTAAGACTTGCATTAATAAACTGTTAATGTGTTGCCAAGGCATTTGTAAAGCTTACTATAATGTGTTGATAGAGACATGCCATGTAGATTGCTTGTTTTATGTGGAGTTCAGAAATGATTTAAATACCATTAAGTACAGGTTGGTTTCCTGAAGTTCTCAGACTCTTAAGTGAGACACAAATAATTATTACCAGTTTCCTTCAAGCAAAAGTATCAAATTTTTGTCACTTCTGTAGCTTCGTTGTCTTTAATATGCATCATCTAATTTTAAGTTACAGTGGTGTGAATGTGCATACTTAAATACGCAGTAGTCGGTGTAGAGAAGATTTAGATCTATTTCCTGGTATAGAATTGAAACTATTTTCATAACTGCTCATAATTTTTTTTAAATATTTCTGAAAGGGCAAAGAAATGGTTAATCGTGTAAAGCGTTTATAGAATTTTTAATTCTTTGCCCTTCTTCCCCCACTTGGTTTTAATTGCCCTTCCTTGTATGCAACCACTCTTATTTCATGATATCTGACCTAGTATTTAAAGAGCTGATGCTTCTATCTGCATCACCAACTTTGTGTGTTCTTGAAGTAATATGTTGATTGCAACACTAAGCAGTATTAGTTCTGGACCTTAACCAAACATAACAGTGTACAGTGTAATCCTTACTAATGCCTAGAGAGAAAAATAGAAGGGCATATAATTGAGGGAATGGGTTTGTTAAGCTGTTTTAAGCATCATTATACATACAACGTACATTTGAATTAAAAATCAGTAATATCAATTGCAAGAAGCTTAATACAACAAACACTAGCTTTCTGAACCTTAACCACTTAATTCTTCCAGGTTTTGTTGCATGTATGTTCAAGTGGATTTGTGAAAACAATGCTAAGTTTAGTTTTAAAGCTAGTAGAAATTACTTTTTATAGTTACTGGGTTTGATATTCTTGCATGTGTTGTCTTCTGTGTAAATTGCAAGTAAAGAAGGCTACTAGATGCCACACTAACTCAAAACATCTGGAAAGAACTTGATGGAAAGAAATAGCATTATAGGTAACTATGCAAATTTCTATACAGGTAATAAATATTTTACATTTTGGCAGGAATTACATGAGGGAATTAATGAGATTTTTAATACTGTCCCAATGTCCAGCTACCTGGTACTTCTAATTCTGCAGGTTGACATTGTTTTGTGGAGAGAAAAAACATTAAATGACTTCAGCACTGTGAACTCCTTAAACTTGCAGTGAATGATGAATACAGTAACAAGGATTTTCAAATGCCTAAAAATCAATACACGTCTGTCTAAAAGCTTTTGGGGGTACATCACATTGGTCATCTCCAAAGCAGTCCTGCTTCTTTGCACAGAATGAACATCTCTGAGAAAACTTGCATCTTGTGTTACATGGATTGTATTAGCTCAACACAATTTAAACTTCAAGGACCCGACATTGGACATCACATCAAGAAAGAAAACAGGTTTCTGCCTTTAGCAGAGTTGCAGGCTTCCAGGACTTTATGCAGCCAGATTCCTTCTGGAGCAGCCCATCTGAAAGATTTGGGAGATTCAGTTGGAAAATGTTCAGTGAGGCAGAGTTCGCAGAGCTTAAAATTGTCTAAGGCTTGAATGTTTAAAAGGTAGTTGATAAAAAAAAAAAACAAACTATTTTAAATTCTTTTTGTTGGTTGTATTGGTTACAGGAGAGAAAGAACTATGGCTGTGAATTACAGTAGTGGAAGTTTCCTATTCTTTTTTTTTTTTTTTAATCCTCAAAATTTCTTTCTTTATCACTTAAAACTTAAATGGCCTTCTTGCTCTTGGAAAGTAATGCAAATCCTGCCCTTGAATTCACAACAAACCTGTTCATGGCTTATATATTTTTTATATATATTTTTTGCTACAGAGCTTATGGTTCTGTAGAAAGAGATATTCATTGTGTTGCTGAGTCTTGTCAAAGAACTGATTGTGGTCACTATTCTGACTTTGGCAGACAGTTTTGAAGGACTTGAATTCTTTTATGGAGTCAGCCATATTGCCTATATATTAATTTGCATACTACTTCCTATAATGCTTGACAGTACAATTCTATTCGTGAAGATTAAAGATGTGATGTTACCTATTTAGCAGAGAAAATCTTGACAGTTCAGAGTACCTTTTTCTGCCCACTTCCTGAAGAAACTGGATATTCTAAAACATTTATGATCTGAACTTGTCATTCTAAATGAGTGTTACGTCTTCCTTAATTTCCTGCCAACTTTTAACTGCATTTTACTTTCTCCTCATCATCTAAGATGTGCTTAGCAAAAGCTGACTACAGGAAGCATGAAACACTGTACACTGCTGTCAGATATACAAATTGAGTTGAAAAGTAGACATGCAACTCTTTTAAACGTTCCGAGGAATGTCTTAGCCTCTCAGAGAAAGAACAGATATTGCTATAAACGTAATGCTCATTTTTAATATTTTTTCCTCAACTTTGTTGTTAGTTTTATTTGAATGATAAAGGAAGACTTTTGCTAATAGTTCAGTTTACACATTTTTTAATGCAGTACTTAATCTTTAAAATTGCAAGGCACATCTTTAATCACTTAACTCAGTTGAGAATTAGCACATGCAAGATTGTGCGGGCTGATAATCCAGATTTTGGTATCGAAAAAGAACAATGCTGCTTCATATTTACAGTAATAAAACTTGCCTTCCGCTTTATGGGACACGGACAGAAGATCAACTGACGCTGGAACAGCACGTGGTAATATAGGGAGATTTTCTGCTATGACAATTATGTTGAGACATAATGTTCTGTGAATTGTGACATGCAGAAATTGTATCTCCTTTTTGTCTGTAATTGTGATTGAGGAAGATTACAGAAGGTTTTGTATTCAATTTGTGATAGATTGGTTCTTTCCTTTGCAGCCAAACAGGCAAAAAGTTAATGGCGAAGTGTCGAATGCTTATCCAGGAGAATCAAGAGCTTGGAAGGCAGCTGTCCCAAGGACGTATTGCACAGCTTGAGGCAGAGTTGGCTTTACAGAAGAAATATAGTGAGGAACTTAAAAGCAGTCAGGATGGTAAGGGATTTTCTTAAGAAAATGGAAGTTGCCTTGCACTTCTGCTAACTTAATTTTCTGATGATATGGATACTGTAAAATCTTTGCCAGAATTAAAGGGCAACATCAAGTAAAACATGACTGTTGTAAGTCACTATTGATAGTCTTAATAAAAAAAAAAAAGCCATCAAAAACTAGAATAGAGGCTAAACTTTAGAGTACTTGTGGGATTTGCAGCTCCCAGTAATGTGAGATTTGAACATGAAACTACTAGACTTTGTAGGTCTTGCTATTTAACATGGGATATTAAGGTAAGCATGCACTGAAAATAGAAAGTTTCTTGTTAAATGACTCATTTTGTAATTACTTGAAGGGGAAAAAAATGTGTAAGAAGAACAAAAATGCGTTTTTTGATTAAGTTAACTCAGATTAATTAAAATGTTCTGTTATTGTATTCGTAGTTCAAACTTTACAGAATTGTGAATGTAAATTGGAATTAGCTGTAATCTCTGGCCTCTTGTGTGTTCTAAATGGCAGGGAAATGCAAATTTTAAAAATATTCAGCAGAGAGTTCAGCATAGCTTCTGCGTTTTTTGAGATGCCTGATGAAAATACTTGAAGTTTGGTAGATTACACAATAGATGATCTGATTATTATGCTAAATCTTGAGACAAGCTAATTAATCAAACCTAAGCATCTTTGTTTCACACCTGGCATCTGTAAGATAGCATGGGCATGATTTGGCATTTGTCTTATATACATCCTGTATTCCTTAAACATTTCTGCTCTTGAGTGCAGTATACTAAAGTAAGTTGCAGAACTGTGATGTTCTTAGGCCCTAACTTCTACCTCATATGAACAGTGACTATGATAATCCTGACATTTTCCTAGTGATTTTTTTCATAGCAATGGGCATTTAATTTTGATTTTTACAGCAATAAGCAGTTTGCATGTTATTTGCTCAGTCTTGTGAATGTGCAGTTGAATTCAGGCTACAGTGTTTATCTTTCAGGTCAAATTCTTTCCGGTACAAAATGCAGTCCCAGTTGTAAAGGATTTTTTTCTTTGTACATAAATACTTTGTGGAATTAACAACTTTTGTTGGTAATAAATTCAACAAAAGTTTACCCTTTGTCATGCTACATGGGATTAAAGGTATTAAAAACAGAGCTGACATTTCCTTGAAATGCGACTAAAATTTTTTTTTGTCACTGAGTAGGTTTTTGTGAATATTCAGAACTATCAAATGCAGATAAGCTTTATGGTCACTTTTACAGTATTTCAGCAATGCCCTGCACTTCAGTAAAAGTAGATATGTTAGAGTCTACTTGCAAAATAGTAATTATTGGAATTGAGCTGCTTTCCATGTATCTTCTTGTCCAGAAATGAATTTCTTCTCATATATCCAAAGTCATAAATATAACAAGTGTAGTTGGCAGTTTAACATTTCCTTCAGAGTATCAAAATGGTGTGCATATCTAATGATTGAAAGAGTTGAATAACTTCAACATAAAATACTGCTACAAGATTTAAATTTTCTTGTCTGACATTTGAGCTATGTGGGTTATTAAGTATTTGCAACACATGTGTTTTCTTTATTTAGAATTGAATGACTTCATCATCCAACTTGATGAGGAGGTAGAGGGTATGCAGAGTACCATTCTAGTGCTTCAGCAGCAGTTGAAGGAGACTCGCCAGCAGTTGGCGCAGTACCAGCAGCAGCAGTCCCAGGTCTCCAACCCAGGTACCAGCAGGACTCCATCTTCTGAGCCTACAGACCAGGGAGAGGCTGTGGGTAAAGACTGCAGCCGTCTGGCTAACGGACCAAGCAATGGTAGCTCCTCCCATCAGCGGACGTCTGGGCCTGGATTTTATAGGGAGGGTAGCAGCACAGAAGATGACTTCCCGGCTTCTCCAGGGAATGGTAATAAGCTGTCCAACCACTCTGAAGATAGAACTGGTAGAGGAGGTGGTAGCTACATAAACCAACTCAGTACTGGGTATGAAAGTGTAGACTCTCCCACTGGCAGTGAAAACTCTCTCACTCACCATTCAAATGACACAGACTCCAATCATGATCCTCAAGAGGAGAAAACAGTAAGCATGAAAGGTAACAGAACTGCGGGTTCTCGGCATGTCCAGAATGGTTTGGACTCCAATGTAAATGTGCAGGGTTCAGTTTTGTAACATTTTTCTGCAGCGTTTTTATACAGTGTCATTTAAACTGGGAGAGGATACTGTTCAGAAGCTGTTATTAAATTAGTGCATACTTGTCACAATTTTTGCCTTTTTGTGGATTTCTTTTTGCTTCAATACCTCTGCCACTTTGGGAATTTTAACAGTTAATTACGTTGAATGTTGCTAAAAGGACATTTGTGTAGCTCAAGTTATTTTTATATGAGTTAATGTGAAGTTGAAATGGAAATTATTTCCATAAAGTATAACATTAAATGATGTCTGTACAAATCTGTGTATATCTAGAACCTGTGCTGTGTAAGGGCATTCTTACTCATACTGTTATACTTAACACCACCTTTGAGATTTGTCATAATAGCTGTGGGTTTATGACTGCCAAGTTTGCCCAGTACAGTAGTTTTATCACTAAAAGATGGACTTGCTGAAGAAGTCCTTTAGTAGTTTCAGTGTTAATTACAGTTTTTCCCACAATACATCTGTGCATTTTCTCCTTAGGTGACCGAATGTTTATGAATTGTGTGCATAGTTACTCAGTTTTTAAGAACTGTTGTATCCTGTTAATGCATATTGCTCTGTGACTCCAATATTATCTTACCTGTACTGACCAAACCTAAATAAAAACTTTTAATAATGTAATTTCCTCATTGTTCTCCATTGGCTTACATGGCTTACCTGTATGGGTTGTAATACTTTCTAAATTGAATTTGTTTCTGTGCCAATCCTGTCTAATACAGCTTATGCCAAGTACCTGTGCTTATAACTATCATGTTGATTTCAGGCCAGCCTTTTAGTATTTATTCTACAGAGATTTTTTTCCCTTATTGATAGATTAAAAAGAAAGAAAAGAAGACAACTAATAATAAGCAAGCTTCATAGTTAGGACCTGGCTCTTATTAAAACTTAGGAAGTATACTGGAGGTAAATGTACAAACTAAATTATGACACTTCTAAGAGGTTGAATTACTTCTTAAGATGATACAATTTTTGATTAGTCTACATGAGGGGAAGCTTAGTGACCTGACTTTGCAGGTGTTGCAAGTTTTGGGGGGGGGGGGGGAGGAGAAACATGCTTATACTGAACAAAAGCAAGTTAGGAATTTATCAGAACCAGAATTTCTAGTGATTTTCTGTCTACTAGTTTGTGGTGGTAGCAATATGCAAGGTGATGAAAAGGGTACTGACTTCAGTAAATGCTGTTCAAAGGGGAAAAATGAAAGCATTTAACTACTTTCAGGTAGACTTAAGTCTGGTTTCAGCATTTTTCTAATAGAATCCTACAATTACCAGACAGCTAATGCAATTCTCTCACATGCAAATTCACTTTGGAAACGCTGAAACTGTTGTTTGAAAGCAGTATTTCTCTAAAGTTAGGAGATACTTGGATGTAACTGCAGTTTAGTCAATAAAATCATAGATTATAGAAGGGTTTCCATGGTATTAAATGAGCACCTGTAGTGTTACTGTCCACAAAAAATGTAATTAGTTGCAACTGTTAGTAGCCTTTGTGTATGTTGGAAACATACTAGTCTATGTACTACTGCTACTTTAATTTCATAGAGCTTAGACATTTAAAACAACTCAGCAGTCACTGGAGGCATTAATTCCATTAACAATAACCACATGGTTTTTTTGGAACGTTACTTCAGCCTTTATTACCTGAAAAATAGCAGTTAATGGACAGTTGAGCATATAGAAATTAAGTGACATTAAAAAAAGTGCTGGCATCCAAAGTAATTTCTGGTTTACAAAAATCCCTGATAACCTAAATATGTATTTGCTGGTGCTTTACATTTGGCTTTAATATCACCTGATTTTAATGTGTATATTGTACTTGAGATACTTTGTGGCTATTATAAGTTTAAGAGGATAGTAATAATAAAATGATAATAATAGAAAGTTACGGTGACTTGATAATATCTATGGTAGAAAGTCTTGTGAGAATGGTGGTGGTTAAAATCTATCTGAAATATGGAAGAAACTCATGTTGAGAAGATGGCATGTAGGATAAGGAATGAGGTAAGAATTATTTTTGGAGTTGAAGTAGTGGCTGTTGTGCTGTAAGGTAGGGGCAACTTTTCACTTAAATTTATCAGTTATTGTGGGAAATCAGGTCTTAAATTCATGAAGATTTGAATTTTTTCAAGAATGTGTGGTCTTTAAATGGTTAGAAAAGAAAACCATACAGCTTCGCTAAATAGCTGAAAAGTTAGAAGTGCAAATTATAACTGCATACTAAACGTTGGCTTAACTAAAAGTGAACTTGGAAAATAAATGTAGGGCAAGAAAAGCCATTTTATTTGTTGGTCTCTGCTTAAAGGTCATCTCCTAAATAAGCAGGCTGGGATTTTACATTTTTTTAATTAATAATTTTTATTTTAAATGAAAGCATCGTTTAAAAACCATCATGTAATTGGCTTGCTTTTTTGCAGTGCTTACTGTAAAGCAGTAGTGAAATGCAATATAATAATACACAAATTTAAAATCAATAATGTTCACATTCTGGCTGTCAATACATACAGCCTATGTTACGGCTGTTAATAATCCTGGAGATGACTTGATACATTATTTATAGTTTTCAGGAAAATCCTGTTTTCAGATTGATTTTGATTAAGATTATTCATCTTGTGTCATCAGATTTCTAGGGTACAGCTGACTGATAACTAAACCTTAAGTTTGCATGGTGTTCTAGGGCCCTTTAAAGGGGCACTGAAGGAGAAACTACCTTTCTGTACATCTGTGCATTACAATGCACTTTAATTCCCTTTGTGGATCTCTCCATGTGGATTTGCTGGTAAATTCCAAGATGAGGTAAGTTATTCTAAACACGGTCATTCAGGCTTTACCCCTTCCATTGTTTTTTTGTTTGTTTGTTTTTGGTCCTATAAATTAGGTTAAGATCTCTGAGCATAAGTGCTTATTTAAATAAGATTTAAAAAAAAAAAAAAAAAAAGTGGCTTGTTAGCAAAGATGTTTTCCCCAATAATTTGACTTAAACTTTATCTTATCATATTTAGTGTTAGCCTTGATTTTACAGAATGCTTCTTAACTTTGAGGGAAGGATTCCCTTCTCTGGCCTTATGGGAGAACTAATTTTTCATGGTTTTTTGAATTCCTTTGCACTTTTACTATTCAATACTGATTATTTTAGCTGATGGAATTAAGGTGCACAAAGCATTCTCACAAGCATTAATGGCCGTGGATGTTGGGAGAAAATGGATACTGGAAAATGAGATATACAGAGAAGTGAGGAAGAGAACTGAAATGAAACAAGGAGTAGATCAAATAGATGAAAAGGTGTTTGTAAGTGGCTCGTTCCCAGCAATTGAGGTGGATAGCTCCTAATGGCAACTGACCTTTAAAGGGGAATACCAGGCTGCTTGCAAGCTCCGGTACAAGCTGCTGCCCTGTCTCTGCTTGCAGTACTGACACTGAGGGGATTCCAGTGCCTCTGCTGTATGCCCAGGCATAACAGGATGAAGCGATAGATGAAGTAAAAAGACCTCTGTATTCACTTTCTGTTTAGAAATGTCCATCTAAGAAACTGACTTGTTGCTTCGCACCATGATACACTGAAAATGTTGAAATGTGAAGCATTCTATGTACCTGCTCCACTAATCATTGCATTTAAAGTCAAGAGATGACTATGTTTGATATGTCTGTAATAATAAAAAATGGAGGAGGGCACGTCTGTTTAACAGTTCTTTCTGTAGCCCACCACTCCTGTATTGTGAAGCCCTAAGAACATCCCATTCTGCACATGTCCAATTCTGACAGATTCTTGCAGCTTACGGCTCATACAAAACACAATTATAAATGGGAAAAAATATAGACTCCTGAGATCAAAGGGAACTGCTGTGGTGCATTTGGTAGGCCTACTATCAGGCCTGCTGCCAAGCCTTGCTCCAGCAGGCTCTCAGGGCTGAGCTACCTGCTTCTGGCAGCACTGCTTGTGCACAAGTAAGACCTGCGCACAGCAACATGCAGGCTTCTTTTTTAGAGTTTTACTTTGCTCTCTTTGCTTACCTTGTGGACCTTTTTTCTCCCTGTTCCAGAGCAATCACTGGAAGCACTGTGCCCTCACTAGCGTTGCTTAGAAAAATGACCTTTCTTTCCTATTTCTGCTTGATTTTAATCTCTGGAACATCTAGTGTCTGTAAATTCTGTAAATTGAATTAAGCATGCTGTATATAGCTTTTTTTTTCACATATTATTTCATAAGTCTTTATGCATTGCAACTGATCCTCACACGTGGTGTACCTCCTTTTTCCTATCCAGTTAGCCTTTGTGTTACCTGCTTATTTATATTCCCAAGGTCATGGCTACCACGGGACCGTTGGCTCAGGACCTGACCTAAGCGGGAAGAAACCCCGTTAGCCTTGGCTCTACCGGTGAGCTGGTGTTCCCTGGTCTGGTAAGTGAGACAGTGGGTTCGCCTTCTACCTTGTGCTGTACAGGGTACTAACGGCGCACGTCTTTTAAATACAAATAGTGATTAGTGACTCAACCACTTGAAACCAGCGCTATCGATCCTCCCTCAGACGCCTGCCCCTCCTCGTCCCGCCGGCAGACCCGCCCCAGCAGTGCGGGCGCAGGCGCGCTGTGCCGTCCGTGCAGTGCCCGCGGAGAGCTGGCCGCCATGTTGTGCCGCCTGGCCTCGGCGGGCAGGTGAGAGCCGCGCCGCCGCTGGGAGGGAGGAGAGGTGGGGGCGCCGTGCTCGCCGCCGCCCTGCTGCGTGAGGGGCGGCTGAGCCCTGGGCTTCCGCGTCCGGGCCGCGAGACGGGGCGGAGGGGAGGGGGCACCACCCCTGTTGTCCGCTCCATTTCGGGAAGAGGGGGTGGCGGTGCCAGCGATGGCCCCGCGAGGTGCAGCCGAGCCGAGCAGCGCGGCCGGGATCTGTCTCTTTAGGGCTGTGGGATTTCGACCCTTTTTCTTATCAAGGTCACCGGTGCAGGTGCCCTCGGGGCTGACCTTCCTCCCAGCCCAGAGTGCTTCCTGTCGTTACGACGCGAGAACGTGGGTTAGGAGGTGGCAGCCCGTGTATCAGTGACCTTCACGTGGGCAGCTGGCCGTAGCAGGGCAGCGTTTCACTCTGCTGAAGTGGTAAAGCACGAGTGCTGCATGAGACTGCTGCTTTCTTTTCTCGTTTCTCATCTAGAAGCAGGGCTGCGCTGGTAGCACCGTTAGGGTGCTCTGTCGCAAGGCAGAAGCACACTCTTCCTGACCTGCCCTACGACTATGGCGCGCTGGAGCCACACATCAGTGCGGAGATCATGCAGCTGCACCACAGCAAACACCACGCCACCTATGTGAACAACCTGAACGTTACGGAGGAGAAATACAAAGAGGCGCTGGCAAAAGGTGCGTATGGCCATCGTCAGCAGGTGAGGAGAGACGGTGTGAGCTGCTGTGGATTTACACTGGTGACTGAGACCGAAGGCAGAGCAGAGTCAGTAGGAAGTTGCCCCTGAGAAATACCAGGGATGTGCTTGAATGTTGATTACCTGTGAAAGCTTAGAGGTTTTTAAGTGGCCTCGTAAGCCTAATAATAATAAACTTGTACAGTCTGAATTAAAGAATGAATGAGGTTTGATGAAGATTCAAGCAAACAAGATTGGCTGTTGCTTTGTCCTGCTACT